TAATAACCGAATGCGAAAGTCCCTGGTCCGCGCCTGCAGTATTGGTTCCGAAAATTGGAGGAGGAATCCGCTTATGTATCGATTTTCGACGTCTCAACGCCGTCACCCGTCCAGATCACTACCCATTACCACGCCTCGACGACCTTCTACACTCAACCGGAAACGTGGGAGTCATATCCACTATGGACCTCAAGGCTGGGTATCACCAAATTCCCATAAGTCCGGACGATAAAGACAAAACGTGCTTCGTGACACCTTTCGGAACCTACCGGTTCAACCGAATGCCTTTTGGACTGGTCAACGCACCGGCTACCTTCCAAAGGCTGATGGATCGATTTCGGAACCGTCTTCCGACGTTGCGCCTATTAATATACCTAGATGACCTGATACTGCTCTCCACCGACTTCCCGAAACACATGGAGGAACTGGATCAAGTTTTCAGACTACTCACCGTCTACGGATTACGACTAAACAGGCCGAAATGCCACTTCGGCTGCCAAAAAGTCAGATACCTGGGGCACATAATTTCGAACGCTGGGTTACAAACCGATCCAGCTAAAATAGAAGCAATGACTGCCATGAAGCCCCCATCTACACCAAAACAGGTTAATACGTTCCTTCAAACCTGTAGTTGGTACCGACGCTTCATTCCGGACTTCTCCAAAATCACCCAGCCATTAAGTAAGCTTACCCGAAAAGCCGCCCCCTGGGAATGGAAAGACGAACAGAAAGAAGCTTTGCGCTATCTGAAACAAGCGTTAACCAGTGCCCCTATTCTACGACAGGTGGATCATACGCTTCCATTTACCCTACGAACAGACGCCAGTGCCTACGCCATAGGAGCTGCTCTACTGCAGGGGGAGGGTAACGAAGAACGACCAGTTGAATATGCCAGTCGACTGCTTACGTCAGCAGAAAGAAATTACTCCACCACAGAACGAGAAGCTTTGGCGATCGTATGGGCCGTATCAAAATTCCGTGGATACCTAGAAGAAAGCTCCGTAATCATAGTTACGGATCACCAGCCCCTAAAATGGTTGATGACCCTCAAAACGCCCAGCGGAAGACTCGCCAGATGGGCCTTGCAATTGCAACCTTTCAACTTGAAAATCACCTATGCACCAGGGAAAGCAAATGCTGTCGCCGATACACTTTCCCGACCACCAATCGAGACCACATCTACATGTCAAATAAGCATGGTAACCGTGGACTTTCCACAGAAGGACCCTGGACAAATCCGGGAAGAACAACTTCAGGACCCAGAAGTCAAGAAGATTCTCGATTGCTTCGAAAGAGCAAAACCAGAGGAGACAGTACCCTGGACTGCAAGAGGATATATCACCAGTCAAGGGGTACTCTACCGTTATTCATCCCAAGACGATAACGAAGAACCCCAGCTAGTGGTACCACTAGCCCAGCGTATAGAAATACTAAGGCAGTACCACGATGTCCCGCATGCCGGACACTATGGCGCCGAGCGGACATCCCAGAAGATTCTGCAGCATTTCTACTGGACGGGGCTACGAAAAACAGTTGCAGACTATGTGAAAAACTGCCCCGACTGCCAGAGATACAAGCCTAGCAACATGGTACCGGCGGGGCTGCTCCAAACGCCTGTAATGCGACAACGGTTCGAGGTTATCTCTTTGGATCTGTTTGGACCTCTTCCTGAGGGGCCAAACCAACAGAAATGGATCTTCGTAATCGAAGACACTGCTACCAGATGGATCGAATTGTTTGCTCTGAAAAACGCTACAGCCGATGAGTGCGCCTGGACATTCATAGATGAATACTGCCTACGCTATGGTATGCCCCGAAGAATCATCAGTGACAACGGACCCCAGTTTGTTAGCGCTATCATGCAAGCTGTCACCGACTGTCTCAATATACAGCAGACTTTCACACCCGTCTACCATCCTGCTGCCAATCCAGTCGAAAGGCGGAATAGAGATCTCAAAACCCAACTATCCATACTCGTGGGACCTCACCACACCGAATGGCCAAGGATGTTACCAGCCATAAGGTTCGCAATGAACACCTCACGATGCCAATCGACCAATTTCAGTCCAGCCTACCTCGTCTTCGGACAAGAGCTGCGACATCCTTTCGAGATACTACACGATTTCCGAAGTATAGTCGAGAAGGACACCTTCATAAAAGAAGTCACCCCGAAACTCTTAAAGATGGCCGACATCTTCTCAAACGCCAAAGAAGTCTGGGAACAACAACAAGACAACCGAAAGACTTACGCAGATGCCCATCGTCGACCATCCACGGGATTTTCCATAGGCGATTACGTATGGATAACGGACCATTCCTTAAGCAAGAAGGATAAGCAATTTTCCAAGAAGTTGGCCCCACGGCGCGATGGTCCATATGTAATAACAAAAAACATGGTCCATGCTCCTTCCAAATCGCCCATCCTACGAGAAGAACGGAACCCATGGGTACCTACCACGTCTCCGCGCTTACTCCATACCGGACACTCTCGGAGGACGAACCATCCAACCTTCCCAGACCAGTCCAACCACTAAGGAAAAGAGGACGACCCAAGAAGCAAGTTTCAGAGTCCACGGCCGAGACGACCCCCAGGACTCTGAGGGGGAGTTTGTAACAATACCCCGCACCCGAGCGCCATCTACGAACCGTTACGCGCACCCGCCAACTACAACGAGGGCCCAAAGAGGACGCTACGTACGCGCCGATGCGGAACCAGCAACCAAACTGCTCATAACACCGGGGCGTTAGCCCAGAACGGGAGACTGGAACACGACTCTTCCTAGTAGCTGCTCTTACCTGCTTCCATCGTGGAACTACCCAGAAGGCTACTAAGAATCGAATCGAATCTCCTGGTGCTTCTCACCGCTTCCTAGACAGGGACGGTTAAGGACTCCGGTTTTACGTTCCTCCAAAGCCGACGCTTTTGTATTCGCGCTCCGTCGTATTTCTTTTCGTGTTCCTACTCGCGTTTCTTTCGAATATTTTGTATCGTTTTCGTTTACCGTTAATATATTCCGTTTTAAACCGTTTTTACTTGTTTTCCGATTTCCTGAGGACCTACTTTTAAAAGTAACAAACATCCACGTTACACTAACAATTTTAAAAACCAACTAATCCTACTTGTGTTACAATGTTAAAAAGCTCTAAAACGGAATGACATAATATTAAATAAAAAATCTAGCAGGTAAATAATAAAACAAATATAGTAGTTTTCAGTAATATTCTAATTCCACTTAATTATTGTTAAGTAAGTATTATATTATGTTGTTGTTGTTGTTTTTATGCGGACGGTCTTTCCAGCCCCGTGACCACCTAGATCTAATGATCCTCTGTAGTTTCCCATTAGTATCAAATAGTATTAATAAACCAGAATGAATTTAAGAAAATTTAATGTCCATTTCGACTTATTTTTTTACGATCTTTTCAAATCTGTTATTATTTTTTATGAACGTTATTTGGTAAAAAAGTTAGCTTGCTTTTGACACATTTGTACAGGAATCCCTATGTCGCATCTTATAAATAACACAGTGTATATATGTGAAATTTGTACTTTTTCCACTAGAAAATGATACATTTTTATTTTTACCATTAGTTCACTGTATCTAAAAAATTTTATACATTTTTATAAACCAATTTGTTGTTTCTTGTTGTATTAGAACTATTGTAAAACTGCCCATTATATATTTGTAAAACTGTAGTAATATTGGAAACTATAACAATTAGAAAACAGTTCATGTCATATGAGAGTTGTTATAGTTACCCCTTTGATTCTAAATATTTAAATTTTGTAACCGTAAAAAACTGTCATAGTTTCCGGAACGGAATGGAGTTTCCGTGAGTGGTGATGGAGATAACAAATTATATTCGTTATATAAAATAACGGAGAAGGGTCTAAACTAAACGAAGCTATGGAATCAGTGGATCTAAAAAAAACAAGTTAATATATCAGAAGAAAGACTATCAGAAATTAAGGAAGCAACCAAGAGCGATAATTGTTTGCAACTAATCAAAGGGTTTATTATGAAGGGGTGGCCTAAAAGCATAAACCAATTACCAGATGAAGTAAAATGCTATAACCAGTACAAACACGAGCTATGTTTGCAAAACGACATTATTTATCGAAATGACAGAATATTAATACTCTTTATACTGACAAAAAAAAAAAAGATAGTTATATTACATAGAGGTCATAACGGAATTGAGTTAGCACTGAATTTTGCTAGAAGAAACGTATTTTGGCCAGGTATGTCTGCGGAAATAAAAAACAAGGTTAAAGAATGCCAAATATGCAAATCTATATCATATTCGCAATGTAGACCAGAAATGCAGTCGTATGAAATACCAGAGTACCCTTTTCAATACATATCAATGGACGTATTCAACACGGAGTACAATGGATCATCTACCAACTTTTTGATAACTGTGGACCACTACTCCGACTATTTTGAGTTGGATATTCTAAGAAATTTGAGTGCAAAGACTACAATCGAAATTTGTCAACGAAACTTTAGCAGACACCTTTAGAAACTTTAGAAGACAACTTTAGCAGGTATTCCTCATATTGTGTGTACTGATAATGGTACGAATTTTGCTAACAAAGATTTTGATGAATTTGCAAAAAAGTGGAATTTCGACCATGTTACCTCTTCGCCACATTATCCACGGAGTAATGGAAAAGCAGAGTCGGCAGTTAAAATTGCCAAGAGTCTCGTTCGAAAGAGTGCTGGAGATGACTTGTGGTTAAACTTAATACACCAGCGTAATACTCCCAATAAAATTGAAGTTAGTCCCACCCAAAGAATTTTCTCAAGAGCGACCAGAACATTGCTGACGACAGCCACGAAGAATTTACTGCCAAATGTTATCAATGGTGTACCAGAAATGATATCCGAAAATAAACAGCTTAGCAAATACTATTACGACAAACATTCCAAGAACATACCTGAACTCAAGGTTGGACAACCAGTGGTAGTTCAACTGCGACCCGAGTTAAATAAAAAATGGACGACAGGAAAAGTAGAGGAACAGTAGAGGAACTAACTGTGAAGGAAGTACTTATCGAAGGAATATAATCCATATAAAACCCACAACCTATACTGGAGAAGTTCAGTCCAAATGTTCAACTCCAACTATAGTGCAGCAACCATCCAGTAGCAGTATAGTAGAGGCTCAACAAAACAGCATCCATCCAACAGCATTCAACGACTCAACAGAGGCTCATTGTCAGATCAATAGTGGCAGTCCCACTCCAACAGAGAACCCGTCGGCCAGAAGCAGCAAACAGAAAAAAGTGCGTGAAGAGATTGACGTTTCAAGTGAAAAAGTGCGCGGAGAAAGCAAAGTGAAGAAGTGCGTCAAAGTAAAAGAGTGATTAAACCCCCAGACCGACTAAATTTGTAGAACCTGTTTATCAGGAATTCTCCCTTGTTTTCTTGTTTTATAGTTACATTTGGTTGAGATTTTTATGAGTTTTTTTATTGTATTTGTTTTATCTTGTTTTCTTGTTTGATGTTTAGATTTAGTTAAGATTTACTCGTATACTAGTTAGATTTTTCGCAATATTGTTTTTTATTTTTTTATGTAAAAAACAACCGCATGTTATAGAATGTAGCATAGACCTATTAACTATGGACGCGGTTTAGACAAAGAGGTAGTGTTGTCGATGAATGAGAGAGATGCAGCTAGTTTGGACATATGGCAATGAGAAATTGGACAATGCATTAGCCAATAGTAAGAAAGAAAAAAACCACGTGAGTTACGTTTTCAGAAATGCAAGGTAGTTGGGGTAGAGGAGGGTAGATTATGGTAGAATAGGGTTGAGGATTTATTATTTTTTTACCGAGCAAAATGCATTTTTCAGCTGAGCCTAAATTTCCACGCATTTGCAAATACAGTTCTTATTTTGTATTGTTATTTGGAACCTCCTACCTATTAGCCAGTACAGATTTCGCAATTTAAGACCTAGCTGCTTTCTCTTGTAAAAAATATGTTTCTTCCAGGTCATTCTTCTGTCCAAGTGGATACCAAGATAAAAACAATATTTAAATATTAAGCGTATAAATAATTTAACAAATTAATCGCCTTTTTCCACACACCCTGTATATATTTTATATATTTTTTGGTCCCGCCTACTTTTAGCCCAAACTAGCTCCATCTCTCACGGACCTCTCTCTCTATCATTGGGAACGCTGAATAACCTCAAAATACCGATTGTGCCGCGTCCATACTTAATAGGTCTATGGAATGTAGTAATGTATTATGGAATGAAAGAGAAGAATGACAGTCATGAGGGATGAGAGTAAGAAAAAAGAGGAACAGAACCTACGAGGAGACAGAGCGACACGCGGTTATTGTTTAGATGTTCGAATTATAAAGAATTATTTGTAGACTTAGTATTTGTAGTTACCAAATAAAACAGCATATCACCGTCCTCAGGGACCTAATGCAAAGGGCTCTGAATAGGGTACAGGGGTGGTGCAACGAACACGGACTTGCAGTGAATCCTGCCAAGACTGAGGTAGTTGCTTTCACCTAAAATAGAGGTATAAGACCTGAGGGTCTACACCTTGGCGGAGTACCACTTCCAGTGGTTGAACAAGTGAAATATCTAGGGTTGATCCTGGATAAGTCACTGACATGGAAGGCCCACCTTGATAGTCGCCTAGACAAGGTGACTAACACGTACTGGGCCTGTAGGATAGCCATCGGTCTGAAATGGAGACTAAACCCAAAGATGATCATGTGGTTCTACAAAGTGATCATGTGGCTCTACAAAGTGATCATGTGGCTCTACAAAGTGATCATGTGGCTCTACAAAGTGATCATGTGGCTCTACAAAGTGATCATGTGGCTCTACAAAGTGATCATGTGGCTCTACAAAGTGATCATGTTGCCTATGCTCACATACGCGGCTCTGGTCTGGTGGCCGAGGGTAACCTTGACAATTGACACGCCTCCAAAGGGTGGTCAGTTTGGGAGCAACTGGCTGCATGAAGACTACACCAACTGCTGCGTTGGAGGTGATTCTTGGACTTCGGCCACTTCACTATGTGATTGAGGCCGAGGCTGGGAGGGTACTGTTGCGCTTGAAAAGTTTGGGATACGTGCGAAGTGAGGAAGGGTATTGTAGGCACGTCAAGAAGCTTAGGCTCCTGGGAGATGTCCCAGTTCTGGCCCGAGCGGCAGACGTTTGCCTGCGCAGGTACTCCTTGTGAACTCCCTATATGGCGAAGATCCGGAATAGAGAATTCTGGGAAAGAGAGGGAAATTCACAGCCTCATGGGATCGTCTGGTACACAGATGGCTCATGCTCCAGTAATGGGGCTGGGGCGGGAATTTACTCTAGGAACCCAAAGACACAAGTTTGTGTCCCCTTGGGCAAGGGGGTATCTGCATATCAGGCTTAGGTATATGCTATCTTGGAACGTGCGCAGATGAACCTAGACAGAGGTTATGTGAACCGTCACATAACCATATACACCGATAGCCAGGCGATAATCGGGGCCTTGAGCGGATATACCATCAACTCTGAGCTCGCTGTTTAATGTCGGGGGGCGGCTTGCTGACTTAGCGAGGCGGAGTGCAGTGCGGCTAGAATGGATTCCGGCTCACTCTGGTTTTGAGGGCAACGAGAAGGCGGATGCGCTGGCTGTGGAAGGGACGGCAACTCCCTTCAGTGGCCCGGGCCCGACCTTGGGACTTACAAAACAAATGATTCTCACAACAAACGAAACAAATGAGTGCTCTGCAGGGTCTTAGGCAGTCCAAGCTCCTACTTAGGGGCTGAACTGATGGACATGCTAGGGCAGCTGTGGAACTACCAAGGAGTAGGTTAAAAAAGATAGCAGGACTCCTAACGGAGCACTGTTGTCTGAGGAAACACCTCTACAACCTAGGTTAAGAGGGAAGTCCCCTTTGCAGGGGTGCTGCGGCATGGCGGATGAAACATCGGACCATGTTCTTTTGGAGTGTCAGAATTGGGCTGCGCTGCGCAGGCGAACCATTGGAGTCCCTGTTATGGCACCTGGAGACACAAACAAAGATCCATTGAAAAGGACTGAGGCCTTCATCGAGGGACTCGGCTTCATGGATGCATAAAGGCAGCAGGAATGGCACAATGGGCCTGCTAGAGGCCTCAGTTCCTGAACCTTGGCTTGAACTGTCTCGGTCAAGGTTCGCCTGCGAACTATCTAGTAGTAGTAGTAGGTGTCTAATGGAAGTTGTCTTTATCGCACACATGGATTATACATATAACCTATATTGCAATGAAAAATTGAGCAATCTGTATAGGTGTTCTCGCATGCACCGTCAGGATGAAAACCGAGTTTTGTTAATCGAGAAATAAGTCTGACAACGCCGTAAAACATTTATAAAAAGAAGAATCTGAGAGAAAACCACCGACAAATTATTTTGTTTTAACTCCTTTTTAGTACTATTCTTTAATTTGATTTAAAAAAATAGCTATTAGAATGTATTAAATTTACTAGAAATAACAAAAATGTATTCAAAAAATCAAAATGTAAAGAGAGTGCCAAATTTGAGTCCTGCAGAAAAACGGTTGATATGGTGAATCCGATTGCCAATAAATATACACAAATTATTGAAGACAAAAACACAAATAGAACTACTATACAATCCATTGTATCGTAGTAATCACTTCTCTCGTAGTTCCTTCTAGGATATCCAAAACTTAATTATATCCAATATATTCTGGTCATCTTCCACGAATAATTGATCTTCGATTTCCATTTTACAACAAATATTTACTTACTAGAATTTCACTGAATTTTAAGTTATGGAAATAACTTGTAACACGGAAATAACATGTAGGCAATTGAACATAATCAAGATTAAATGCATAATCCAGATTGCTCCATTTTTCATTGCAATATAGGCTATGGGTGCAACAAAGACAACTTCAATTAGACACTTATTAAGGAAAAAGAAAGAGTGACATTTGTGTCATTGCAATTTTTCACTCTGACAACTGTCACTTTAGCAATCTTTCTTTGTTCGATCCATAGAAATGCCCATGTTGCAATATATGTGTATATTATTCGTCTGAAGATTACATAAATTGTTTCAGACCTGTAGCCACCTTGATCGTTAGATCACTTGTAGCCACGGTCCTATATTTCTGAGGTCTGGAATCTCCCTATGCTTATGCATTAGAGAATGTGTCCCGTTATTTGAGGACTTTTTGAGCTTCACTTTTGCGCCGCACCGTGGCGAAAGATCGGAGGACCAACCTATCTCACACAACCCGCGGTTGTGTGAAATGACAGTTCAAGCTGTCAAAACTTCAAAAATTATTATTTGACATTTCGAGGAGAAAATGGAGAAATACATCAACCGAAGATACGTGAGTCATGATGTTTACAACAAAATCATCGCTAATTTAAGTATATTTTGTATCTATTTTCAGTTTGAATATAACCTTTCTTAATGCTAATTCTAAATAATTTGTACGCAAAAAACCGTGGTCCTTTACAACATGTCCTCCTAGCGGCCGTTTTAGGAACCCTGTTTTATTCTCGAATAACGGGACACTTTTCTGACCTATGTTTCCAGACCTTAGAAATACAGTGTGTGTCACGACGAGGGCCCATTAGAAGTATCTGGAAAAGTAGTTGTAATTAAAATTTGAAAATATGTGTACAAGTATTAGTCGATGCGCTCTATTCAATGAAAATATTTTCAACTTTTTTTACTTTCGGTTATACCGGAAGTGGACATCAACTTTGTTATTTTAAATGGGACACCCCATATATTAATATATTTTCGAAATGTACGCAAAATTTTAGAGTGCTTTTGTCTAAAAAACTTTTTTCAAAAATGCATACTTTTTGAGCTACTAATTTTTTTTTTTTAATTTTACCGATGTAATATCTCACAAGTGCCAAAATTAATAATCAATTAATAACAAACAATTTACATGGCCAACTTGTAAAAACGGATTATTTAAGAATAAGACAGAAAAGTAAGATTTATGTAAAATATTCAATATCTTCAAAACTATTAGGTTTAGGTATAGGGAAGTAAACATGAACTTCCCTAATTTTTTTACCGCTGATTTCAATAAAATAGAAAAAAATGGGTGGTTCCATTTAAAAAAATTAAGTAATTTGGTATTTTTAAAGTTCAACTTTTCACATGTTTTGTATACACCCTGTATAAGATAAAAAGTTTTTTAACACAGATTCAAATACCTTTGACCTTGCTAGTGGCCACCCTACAGAAACCGTATCCATATCTTTAAAGGGATCCCCGTAAAAAAATAATTTATAAGGGTCTGCATCGGTCAAATTTTTCCAAAAAAAAATTAGTAACTCAAAAAGTATGCATTTTTGAAAAAAGTTTTTTAGACAAAAGCACTCGTAGCAAATTTTGCGTACATTTCGAAAATATATTAATATATGGGGTGTCCCATTTAAAATAACAAAGTTGCTATCCACTTCCGGTACAACCGGAAGTAAAGAAAAGTTGAAAATATTTTCATTGAATAGAGCGCATCGACTAATACTTGTACACATATTTTCAAATTTTAATTACAACTACTTTTCCAGATACTTCTAATGGGCCCTCGTCGGGACACACACTCTATAGGACCGTGAATTGCAATAATTTATTCAATTATAGAAAAAAGTGGCACACTAGATTTTGTTGAAAAATAACAACTCGAATGTAAAATTTGATTATATTAAATTAATGCTTAGATATTCAAACTTCACCGAATCCTTTATAGAAAATATCATTAAAAAAAAAATACAAACTACTAGTCTCGTTCTGCGATAGCAGTCAAATGATAGTCGATTTCTTGCTCGGTAAGCTTCCTGAATTTAGGCTCGTCTTTCGTAACGACCCCGACCTCCACTTCAGTCGGTTTGAAATCCACAGAAAGAACGCTCGAAAGACAACTGATAGCGAGCTGCACGACCTCATCTTTACCCAAATCCGCTTTTTTCTTCAATTTCTTCTCCAAGAAACTGTTCGCCTCCGTTTGCTTCGAACCCACACCGACCGCCCGATACCCGCAGTAATAACCAGCCGGATCGGCTTTGTACACGCACGGCCCCATTTCCTTATCGTAGCCTATCAGCAGCATCGAACAACCTACAAATAACCACATAAATAATTCGATTACAAAGCTCAACGAATCGATTACCCAAAGGTCTCATCTCGGCGTTTTGGGTGTACACCTGAGATATATCGGAGACTCTTCTGCACAACGCGTCTATGGGCATCTCGTAGCCGTATTTGTATTTGAATTGGGCCGCTTCGTATCGAGCCCTTTGCACCTGGGATTTGCTGTCCGCTATCATTCCCGTCATGACGCAGCCGGTGTGATCGGTGAGCTGGAACAAGTGGGTTATGGTGTTGGGATCGACCAATTTGTCGGGGATCTTCCGCTGGGTGACGCAGGCCGCCGTGTCGGTCCCGCGGACCGCTACCGAAGTGGGCCCGGCTTGGTTGATGGCTTTGAAAGCGTATTCGACTTGGTACAAGCGGCCCTCCGGCGAGAAAATCGTTATGTGTCGGTCGAAACCGGCGCTGCTACCTCGGGACATCTTCGACTACGAATTGTTTGCGATTTGCGATATTGTAGAGTGTTTAATTCGTTTGAGAAAACGATGATTTTCAATAATTCTTGTTTGACGGTTTGAAGTTTGACAATGACAGTTGACAGTGTGTCAGTTATGTCGGTTGCATTTTTTCGTATCGATATGGAAATCGATTTGATGCATTTTTTTTCGTATGAAAACGTTATAAATGTTTTAAAAACATGTAGAAATAAATAGTTTTAAGTCTAATTTCAATTTACATCACTTTCAGTCAGTAATTATCTCGAAAATTACAAAATGCCCTTATTACTAATCGATTATTAATCGATACATATCTTGAGAATATTACTATTTTTCAATAAATTTAAGCGTAACGTGCAAAGAAAAACGATTACAATAATAATTGTAAAGTTGTAATTTGTGTAAATATTCTTACCTTCTATTTTGAAAAAAATAAAACCGAAATTACTAATCGAAAAACTACTAAATAACGAGTGGTTATTTTCATCGTTAACAAAAGACCAGTATCTAGTAGACTTTTGACAGTGTGACAGATGTAAATACAAAAATTGTCAAAAATAAAAATAAATGGTGATGTGGCCTAAACCAAAGTTGAATAAAGTATGATAAAATGTGTAGTATTAAGTTAATATATTTTATTTGTTTGTTAAATATTTATTTTGCGACTTGTCTAATATCAGACAAGAGATTATGCGCAAACGAGGACTGCTCAGGTTCGTCTACCAAACACTCAATTTCTCGTTCAATCATTGTCTCATTTGAATTTTAGAGCCACTTTCTCTCGCCACAACCCTCTTGAGATACACCAGCCCGGAGCCGCCGCTCATTCTATCATTCGCCCCGAAAGAAGCGGTCAAGGTTTACAGCAAAGAAGCGGGCTCGAGACCCGACCTATGGGGAGTCGAAATCAAAAATAAAAGAGGATACGTTCCGAAGAATTTAATAAGGGAAGAGAAGATTTTCAAAAAGCCTACAATTGTTGTAGATACAGAACTCGCCCGGACGAATCAAGTGCCTCCTGAAACCAAAGTTGATAATGTCGAGCCAGATAAGGTGAAAGAATCTTTCGAAGTTGTCGATGGAACAACGTTGTATTTAGATCCTAGTTCTATTGTACCTAGTAGCACTGAAAGTCCTGTATTATCAACAAGGAATCCTGTTGATAATCATGAATTTCAGGATTCTGTTGAAACTGGTGAGTAAAGCTGCGTATAAGGTTGTAATGATGTGAATTTAAATGTATTTTTTTTTTATTAGAAGCTGCAAGAGAAACGAACGATAGTCAAGAAGTTCCTTCGGCGCAATTAAATAAACACGAATCGAGTGCTGATGAATCAGTTGTGGAAGGTGTATTTTCATCAATAAAAAGCTGGATAAGCGATGACGAGGATGAAGAAGCTGATGATACTAATGAAGAAAACGTTGAGGAACTTAAAGTTATTGATAATGATAAAAATAGCGAAGAATCAATATCGAGGGAAAGTAGTAATGATGGAAAGGTAGAGAGTATCGATAAAGTTGAGGAAATTAATAAGAGTAGTGAAAAAATAAATGATGAATCTACAAATAAGGAGAAGTTAGAAGAAACTGTAAATTCGCTTAAAACTGAAGAAAATAGTGCAGAAAGTAATTTAGAAACACCAAAACATGAACCCGTCGAGGACCAATCATCAAAAAATGACAATGAGCAAACGAAACAAGAAAAATTGGATCAATCGGATTCAACTAAAAATTCAGCTAAAATCGAAATGACCAAACCTATTGAAGACATTGATTCTAAAAATCAAACTGAAGAATCTACAGAAACGGTTGATGCAGTTTCAATTGAAGACAAACAAGAAACTTTAATGCCTGAAAATACTCCAGATGTCACTTCTCCTACACCTATCGATCTCGAAGAAGCTATACCAGTTATTTCTACAGAAGATGTAACACAAAACCCCAATGATATTCAACAAGAAACAAATAGTATCTCTCCTACGCTGGAACTGTTTCAAACAAAACCAGATGTTAACACGAACGAATTAAGAAGTAGTGAAAGTACAGACAATCTAGAAGTTGCTAAGGAAATCATTAACGATAAACAGAATCTACAAGAAACACTTAAAGAAGATAAAACTGAAGAAGCACCAAAAGAGGAAGAAAAAGTTAATGAAACACCTAATGATGATAGTTTTAACCAAACACCTAAAGGAGAAGAACACGTTGAAGAAACACCTAAAGATGATAAAATCGAAGCACCTAAGATAGAAGAAAAAATGAACGAATCGCCAAAAGAAGAAAACTTAAAAGCTTCCTTAAAAACTGAAAATATGAATGAGAATTTAATTAAAGAAGATCTGTCGGATAATGTTACTCAAGAAATGATTACAGAAAACGTTAAAGTAATTGATAAATCTCCATTAGAAGATATTTTAGGGGTTTTAGAGCAAAACGATGTCCCGATTAGTGAAGTTTTTAAATCTAAAACGGAGGAAAGCGGCGAATTAATTGAAGAGACAATATTAAAAGAAGAAGGCGGAATATTCTCTATAATAACATCAATATTCAGTAGATCGGAATCCGAGGTTAAACCGGAACCTGACCTGCCCCCTTCTACTCCGATTAGCAATGAAAACGAGATACTAAACGAACTGATGGGACAATCCCAAAGCATTGATGAAAACGAAAACACGAATGAAGCAAAAGCCAATTGTGATACTAGTTCTATCGATAAACTAATCTTCCTTCTAACACCAGACGCTCTTCTCTATTTAAGCACCACAGCGATCGCTTGCATAATATTTATCATAGTATATAATCTAATAGATAGAAATAGCCGAGAGGCTCCTCTAATACAAAGAATCAACAAACTAGAAAGGGAACTGATGATAACCCTCAAAGAAAAGGACGCCTTACAAGAAGAATCGGAAAGTTCAGTTTCCCACGAAACCGCATCGTCCGATAGTTTCAAACGGAAACTACAAGAATCCGAACTATACAAACAAACATTAGAAATGCAAATCGAAGAACTTCAAAGGGAAGTCGAAGAGAAACGGGCGCTAGAAGAACAAATCGAAGTGTTGGAAAAAGAACTGGAAACCTCCACCGAAGTCGGTTTGGAGCTGAACAGAATCATCTCCGAAATGCTCGATCCGACCGATGGAAGCGACAAATTAAAGGAGAACGTCGAGCAACTGCAAAGGCAACTGTTGGAGCAGAAGGGCATCATCAGCGACATCAACAAGGCGTTGAGCGATAAAGAAATCGAAAACGGCGATTTGCTGAACGAGCTGAACGACAGCAGGAGAAAGACCAAGGAATTGCAGGGCAAACTGGACGAAATCGTCGATCAGATATTGAAGATCGAAAAAGAGAGAGACCAGCAAATCAGGAGCCTGCAGGAGGAGATGGCGGTGTCTCAACGGGAATTTAGAGATGAATCGTTGAAGACCGAGATGCTTACTAACGAAATTCAGGTAAATCTACGTTTTTATAATTTTGCACTTTGAGTGAATTTAATTAGAAATTAACAGGATAAAATTAAGTGTCACATTTAGAATTGTTCGCTAACATTTTTAGTGAATTTGAATTCAAAAATAGTTCCTTAGTTTGTGTTTTGAAGATTTATAATTGTTTTTGTACAGGTCGCTCCATTTTTTATTGCAATATAGGTTATATAGGTCATTGGTGCGAAAAAGACACTTACAAAGGAAAAAGAAAGTGACATTGTGTCATTGCAACTTTTCACTCTGACAACTGTCATTTTAATAACCTTTCTTTGTTCAACTCATAGAAATGACCATGTTGCAATCGGAAATGGAGCAAGGTGTATGTGTGTTGTGTGTTTATTTAACTTTTATTTACAAACGAAAAGAAAAATATTGGTGTTATATCGTTTACATGAACTAAACAATTTAAATTTTCGCGCCACATTGACGTTTGCGATTGTTCATACGTCACTAAAATGGAACCCTCTTCCACCTCGAAACGGAAGCTTCTGATTGGTCAGCAACACGTCACTTGTCAATTTTTAAAATTTCGTTTTCTAGGTGTTGAAATCGCAGCTGTCCGATGCTCAAAGAAAGTCCGAGCTCAAAATCAAAGAATACCAAAACCTCAAAGACAGTTTGAGCAGTATTAAATCGCTCGACGGGGACAAGAAGGCGCTCCAATCGTTGCTCGACGGCTCTTCCATCAAGGCGGAACTGGAACAGCTCAAAATCGAAAACGAACGCTACGCGGTGAACCTGAACGACGAACGGGCTGCGAAAATGGCCTTCGAAAAGAAATGCCAGTCTTTGTCGGACGAAAACGAAGCTTTGGTGAAGAAATATCAATCGTCCGATAAGGAAAAAGTCGAAGCCGTTATGAAACTCGAAGTGTTGAATAATTATTTCAAGAAAAGAGAAGAAGAGTTGCAAAGGTATTGCGATTTTTTTTTTAATATTAGTGTTGGTATATAGATTTTAGCTATTTCTAGCTATACAGGGTATACCACGGTCGATGGCAGATTAGGCGTTTAGGGAAAATTGAGCGTACGATTGTCGTGAAAATTTGATTATTTTAGTAATTGGTCCTGCTCTATCGATTTAAAATATTTTCAACGCTGCGGCGTTGCCTCTTCTATCGAAAAGTAGCAGCAGCTTTGTTATTTTAAATGAGATACCCTGTATATTTTTACATTTTTTGCTCCGCTATTGCTTTCCGATTATTTTTGTATAATACTTCCCTATACCTATCTTTAGCGCTTTTCGAGAAATTCATTATTTTGTTTAATTTTTTGTTCAAAACATAGCTCCAATTAAATGTTGATTACTGCGGTAATTAGATTAGGAGAAAGCTGAAATTTTGGGATTAGCTTACAGATGCCTTAGGTATTCGTTCGCTATAAAAGAATTTTTTTTGAGTTATACAGGGTCGTTCAAAAATTGTCATTTTATCTATAGATATACAAATGCTAATAAGTTCATTTTTTTTAATGGAATACCCGGTATATTTTTGAATATTCAAAAAGGTAATTAAATTCTCTTTCAAATGGTATATCATGTTCCTATACCTAAATAATCAGGTTTCTGAAATAAAAGTAAATTTCTATATAAATCTGATTAATTTAGCGAATTTGTATTAGGTAGCTGTGATATCATGAAATTTCATCCAAATTTGACATTTAGTGCCAATTAGTTAAAAAAAAAGTAAAATGTATGTTCTACTTAAGTATTGTAAAAAACAATTAAAATTGAAGGAAGTAATTATTCAAATGAAGTTCTTATGAATTTATTTACTCTTCATGGACAATGTGACAAAATTATAGCTAAATAATTGTATAAAAATATACAGGGTGTCTCATTTAAAATAACAAAGTAACTGTAGATGTCTATTGAATTGAATTTCAGAATAGTCAATTGTATTTAAGAAATTGCTATTTGTGTTTCGGAAAGTGTCATTCGTATTTTGAAAATCGTTAAAAGGATTTCAGAGTCCCATTAGAAATGCAGAAATCATATGACGATTATTATTACAATTATTAACGAAGAAGAAAAACTCAGCCCACTCCACAATTTATATTACTTTTTTCGAACTTGAAACAACACTGGAATTGAAATATTTTTTTCTGAAATCGAAATTATTCTTCTGGAACTGATACCTTTATAATTTTGTCTAAAATTGAGATTAAATAGCTATAGATATTGAAGAATTCCGAAATACAAATGATTTCTGAAATGAATTTGACCATTTTGAAATTCAAATGATCGTTTCCGATATCGAACTGACTATTTTGAAATACAATTGAATAAATTGATTGTTTCTGAAATCAAATTTATAATTCTGAAATTCAATTAATTCATTCTTAAATGAACCTAACTCTTTCTGAAATACTGTTGGAAATGGTGTAGTTGACATTTGAGCGTCATGAAGGCTAACTTCATGTCAATAACATAACAGAGCTCTCGATGTAACTAGACTCAATTTAACCGATTTAATCCGGTCTTTTTCTAGCGAATTGATGAAATACAAATCGATTTGGGACGATAAAGAAGGCGAGGCCGCATCGACCACCGAACGAATCAAATTGTTGACTGAAGAAATCGAAAATTACAAGTGAGTTTCATTTCACATAAACTCCTTGACAGAATTAACGCAACATCAAAAATTTGCCACATTTTTTATTATGAACCGATTTGGATGATTTTTTTTTTTTAAATTATAAGTTGGTTCCTTGACAATGTCATCATTTTTGCTGTTTATGATAAAATGTTCCTTTTCGATTATACCTGGTGTAATAAAAATGTAATGTTTTTTTCCGAAAATTCGTATCACCCTGTGGAGTATACTAGCAAACGAGACATACAGCAGTTGACATTAGACGGTATAGATCCATCTCTTGCCAAAATTTTCTTTTTTGGTTTACTTCATTATCTCTGTTATTAAAGGAGATAAGCCGTTTTATAGCGTAACGTGTTTTAATAGACTTTATTATTCAAAACATTCATTGTTAAATATTTTAATTTAATTTTCAAGTAGGCTATGGACCTTTTCTGACATTTCAAGCGATGTGTCAATATGGAATACATTAATTGTTCTTAATTGTCTTAATTGTGCGAAGAAGCAGTAAGAGCCTTAACTTTGGTGGATGAGGCCTATTCAAAATCCATTAATTTTATTGTTTTTGATTTATGTTCTTTTCTTGTTTCACTCGTTTCAAAAAAAATGTGTTTAATAAACTCTTAATTTTACTTTATGAAATAAAGTAATTCGTTAATTTTGTTTTCATTCATCAAAGCGAGCAGAAATTATTTTGTTATACAGATAACAAATAATGTATTCGATATTGACACATCGCTTGAAATGTCAGAAAAGGTCCAAAGCCTACTTGAAAACATTTAACAATGAATGTTTTGAATAATAAAGTCTATTAAAACATGTTACGCTATAAAACGGCGTATCTCCTTTAATAACAGAGATAATGAAGTAAACCAAAAAAGAAAATGCTGGCAAAAGATGGATCTACCGTCTAATTTCAACTGCTATATGTCTCATTTGCTAGTATACTCCACAGGGTGATACGAATTTTCGGAAAAAAAACATAACATTTTTATTACACCCGGTATAATCGAAAAGGAACATTTTATCATAAACAGCAAAAATGATGACATTGTCAAGGAACCAACTTATAATTAAAAAAAAAAAATCATCCAAATCGGTTCATAAATTCAAACAAAAAATAGCATAAAAAATGTGGCAAATTTATGATGTTGCGTTAATTCTGTCCAGGAGTTTATTTTGCTTGTAATTAAATTTTGTTGTTTTTTTCTTGTTCAGATCGCAAAACGAATCGCTCAAACAGGAGATCGTCTCGCAAGAGATCGACTTGAAGAGCCAAATTTCCATGTTGGAGAAGAAGGTGCACGAAAATTGGGTGGCTTCGAGGCAATTGGAAAGGAAATTCGAGGATTCTAGACAAGAAGCCGCCCAATTGAGGAACCGATTGACCAGAGAAAGGGCCTTCATCGAAGATAGATCACAAAACAGTGAGGGCTTCGTTCTAGCAGTAGAGAAATAAAATATACTGGGCGTTTATTAAATAAGTGGTCAAACTTTGGGAGCGAGTAGAGAAGCTTAAAATATGACAAAAACTTTTTAAAAGTTTTTAAAAATATACATTTTTAGATTTTTAAAGGTGACAATAGGTTTAGTAATTTTGTGTATTAGAATTTTAAAAAGTTGTTTTTCGTGAAAACATTTCACTTGACGGAAAATCAACGAGTGTTCCTTTTTTATGTAGAAAACTTCATTTTTTCATATTCTTTAAACGAATCATTAGAAAAGGTTAAAATAAAAAAGTAAGGTTAGAATTACCCCACGAAACCCCTCATTTTAACCCACCCCTGGACAACTTTTTTAATCCGATTTTATGGTGCCCTAACGGATATTATTTGCTTAGTATGTGTACCAAATTTCATCATTTTACCTTTGCTATTAATGAAATTATTAATAAAAATTCCTCTTCAAGAATCCATCTTTAACACCCTGTATACCGATAACCAATGACATTTAAGTTTTTGTGATATTTTGAGGTTCTCTATTTGCTCCCAATATTTGACCACTTATTTCAGAAATACCCTGTATAGTGGCAAAAGCGTATACGGATGCGCGTGGAAATAATGAACGAATTGAATTTGACAGATTTTGACAGAATTTGTCAATTTTGACATTGTCATGTCATTTAAGGTAGAAAAGAGAAAAGTCAGAACGCGACATTAAAATCGTTATGTTTACAAACGTTGAATGTTACAAATGATTTTTATAACAGGTTTTGGATGTTCTCAATTATTTGAACCTTTATTACTTACTTTTTTTTATATTATGTTTTCAAGTCATGCGTGATGAATAATTATTTTTTTTTTTTTTCGTTTTTAGTAGATGGGAAATTCAAGACATATGTATATACAAGGTGTTCTACGACGAGTTAAAACTATCTGTATATTGGAAACTACTTAACCGATTTAAATAAAATTTGGTATGTATATGTTATGCAATAAAACGAACCTCTTAAAAATATTTTGACAGTCCCACTTCCGGATATACCGGAAGTAGATATCAACTTTGTTCAAATGGGACACCTTGCGTATTAATATATTTTCGAAATCTACATAAAAATTTAGGTTACTTTTGTCTAAAACACTTTTTTTAAAAATGCATACATTTTGAGTTAATTTTTTTTTTTTTTTGGAAAAATTATACCGAAGCAGACTCTTATAAAATATTTTTTTACGGGAATCCGCTTAAAGATATGGAAACGGTCTCTGTAGGGTGGCTATTAGAAGGGTCAGAGGTATTTGAACCTGTGTTGAAAAAAAAATTATTTTATACAGGGTGTGTATAAAAATTGTTCAAAGTTGAACATCAAAAATATCAAATTTCATTTTTTTTTAAATGGAACCACCTAGTTTTTTCTATTTTAATGAAATCGGCGTACAAAAATAAGGTACGTTCATGTTTACTTCTTTACACCTAAATTTAATAGTTTTAAAGTTATTAAATATTTTACATAAAACTTACTTTTCTGCATTATTCCTAAATTACTCGGTTTTACAAGTTGGACATGTACTATCATACAAGTACCATAATTAATAATCAATTAATCAAGAAGGCTATTTTTATTATGATATTTTTGAAGTTCAACTTTTCACATTTTTTACACACACCCTGTATAAAATAAAAAGTTTTTTAATACAGATTCAAATACCTTTGACCTTGCTAGTAGCCCCTTACAGAAACCGTTTCCATATCTATAAGGGTGTCCCTGTAAACAAATAATTCATAAGGGTCTGCTTTGGTCAAATTTAAAAAAAAAATTATTAATCCATAAAATATGCATTTTTGAAAAAAGTGTTTTTGACAAATGTACCCGGAAATTTTACGTATATTTCGAAAATATATTAATATACAGAGTGTTCCACTTAAAATAACAAAGTAGATACCTACTTCCGGTACAACCGAAAGTAGTACGACTGTCAAAATATTTTTAATAACTTTGTCTTATTGCATAACATATTACCAAATATTATTTAAATCGTATAAGTAGTTTCCAATATACAGATAGTTTTAACTCGTCCTGGGACACCCTGTATATTAATTAAGATTTAACATTTTTACACATTAGTAATAGAAAATTTTATTCATTTTGTTAAGCATTTAAATCATATAAGGCCTATAAACTATAAACATCTGGCAACACTGGACTATCTACCTTAAATGACAAGTGACAGTATGCGCAAAATTCAATTTGCGCCAACTACGAATAAAGGACATTCGCGCTCGCTAGTACATGACGTCATTAATTTTCAAGCAGTTCAACATTTCCCTGGTGTCAATGTTAATTCTCCCATTTGACTAGGGGAATTTAACGATGCGTAGTTGAAAGTCCAAGGCGATGTTGTCATGCATTTAGTCTCAACATTTGTAATATTTAGCGGCGCTTTGTAGTTGACATTTTGACAGGTTATGACTACGATTTGTTGTTTTTTGCGCGATTTTCCTGTATTTTTTTCAAGTTTACGAATAGGTTTTGTGTTTTTTGTTAGTTCTGGATTGTTTTTCGTGCGGTTTATGTACATTTATCGACAGTTTCTCCCGCGATTTTCGGTGTTTTTCGACCTATTTTGAGAGGGAACGGGACGATGTAGGTCCTTTTTTCCCGATTAATTCCTGATCAATATTTTCGATAGTTCAGCACATTGAAATTTATAGGTTATGTTAAACTTACGAACATATACCTATAACTACTATACCGCTAATAATGGTCTAAAACCCGTAGCAAACATTATACTGTGGTGTGCTTGCTTATTTATGCGCATGCTCAAGTGAAAGATTTCTTGATTGGCTACTTTTGACACAGCAAATGAAACATCAGAAACGTGCTAGCTTTTATTTTGGTATATTTTTTGATATTTTTTAAAATCGACTTTGACTTGCCTGTGTAAATATGTCAGGTTACCAAATTTAAACACGATTTCAAGAATTATTTTCCTTCTTTTCTTTTTAGGCCTCAGCTACTCGCTATTGGTCCTTATAAAATTAACGCGCTTGCGTATAAACGACTAAGCACACCACAGAGAGTCGGATCTCTCTCTTTAATCGCTACGATTTTCTCTCATGGAATAGATAGGGAGTTAGCAGTATATTAGTTAATAGGTATATGCAATGAAAGTTAACATAACCTTAAATTAAACATATATGTCACATCAAGATGTTCATTTCAACCCGGCAACGTCGCAACATGTTGACTTGTGACGTCATTGCCTAGCGAGCGCGAATGTCCTTTACACGCTGCTTTTTCCACTCCATATTCTCTACGATTCCAACGCACACGAAAATATTTATTATTTTTTTTTTTTTAAATTTTATTCATCTTAGGAATGCAATCGCCATTGGACCACAACGGTGAACTCGCCCTGTCGCCGCCGCCGCCGCCCCCGATCGATTCGGCGACATCGCCGCCAATGATGTTCGCCGGTAGGGATCACATGACGAAATCGCCGCCGTTGACCGGTCTACCGCCGTTCCTTCCGCCGCCGCCGGGGGCTCCGTTTATGCCGCCACCGTTGCCGTTTATGCCGCCGCCGCCTGCGATGTTTCCCGGCGACCATCGGCCGCCTCCTTTGGGTAGGATGTCTTCGCCGCCGCCGCCGATTAATTCTAGGTGAGGCTGTCGCCTAGCTATCTAAAGGGTGTTTCAATAAGACGGCAAGTTTTGAATTGCCTGTCACGTTTGACAGTCATAATGACACGTGATTATAACATGACAGATCGAAAGTTGACAGTTGGGAGCACGGTAACCGTCCATTAGAAGCATCTCAATAATGAAAAGACTTAAAAATCTGAAATTTTGGTTATAGTATTTTTTGGATAATATGAATTGATCTAAAATATTTTCATTTTGATTACACTTCCGGTTATACCGGAAGTTGACACCAACTTCATTATTTTATATGGAAAGTGCCATTTTTAACTTCATTTTTGAATTCTATGGCTTTTTTTAACTAGACTTTGATAATAAAACCATATGCCAAAAATGCACCATTTTTAAGATATTTCAATTTTTTCAATATTTTTTGGAAAAACAGTCGAATGTATTTTCTGTGATATATGTGTTAATAATGCAACTAGAAGCTTGAAATTAAGTATCGATGATGTCCAGACACCCTTCTAAATGAAACTAATGGGTCGATTCTGAGAACATCTGTAAGACCTATAAGCCAAAATCTGTAAGAGTTACAGGAAATGCAATTCTATCCTCATCTGTTACTTACAGATTCGCTTACAGATTCGTAAATATTTACAGGCTAGACATCAGTCACTGTAAGCGGTACAGAGTGTGGTAGAGAGCATTAAAAAGCATTATTCCTTGTGTTTTGTTGTGTGTACCTTACGGGTGTTTAAACTATACTGCTCCACAAAAGTTAAGGAAGTTCACAAATATTGGGATTAATTTAAAAGTTGCAGGTTTTTTGAAAATTCGCATATTTGAAAATTCGGTGATCAAAAAGTTTGTAATTTTTAAAATAATCGCGATATTTGCGAATTTTCTTAACTTTTGTGGAGCAGTTTATTTAAAGTAAAAGCGTGTTTTTTTTACTATGTTTTTTACTGTTTTTTACCCATATAACCTACAAATGAAATTATTTGCGGGTGTTCTGTTTGAGAAATATGAAAACAAGTGAGATTTTTGTAGTTTTAAATGGGTATCTACTTAAATAAATACCAATAATTATAATAATAAAAATAATTACATTTTTTAGAAATTATATGATAAATTGAAAGAAGGCTAAATCCATTTGACCTCACAGAGAGACATTTTAAACAAATATTTTGTTTAAAAAATTTAAATAAAATTCTAGTTGATATAGAGACGTATTTTTTCCTTTTCCTCTTAATACCTTGTGCTCAACTAGGTACTCAGCTTTTAAACTTTTAATTGTTATGAGGTTATAATTTTGACGTTTTATAAACACGAGTGAAGTTGAAACCTATAAGGTAAAGATCTGTAACTTGACTTTTACAGATTTGATTCCAGAATAGCAAATATTACAAATCTGTAAAGTTTCAAGTTACAGGCACTATTTCTTACAGATTCTGTAGCTTATAGGTAAATTCTCAGAATCGACCCATAAACCGTATTTTCAGAATCCATGTACAGGGCGTTTAAAATTGTCTGACAAACATGGCCAAATTAAAGTGGTCAAAACTTTGTTTTTTCAAATGGTTCACATTGTATTTTTTAACAGTGACCAATGCAGTTTTTTAAGCCCTTTCGATCCATAAGGGTATTCCCTATACCCAAATCCAGTAGTTTTTAAATAATCGAAGTTTTATTAAATAATGTATGAATTTTTTTTTTTTTTTTTTTTTTGAGTTATCTAGTTGTCAATCCGACATTTATGTATTTTTGAAAAATTCTACGCTAAATTTAAGAGTACTTTTGTCTAAAACATTTTTTCAAAAAATGCATACATTTTGAGATATTTTTTTATGAAAAAATTGACAGTTGCAGACCTTTATACATTTTCTTTTTACGAGTAAACCCTTAAAGTTAATGAAATCTGTTTGTTGTAAGTTTCTGTAAGGTGACTACCATTAAGGTTAAAGGTAATTGAATCGGTTTAAAAAATACTCTATTGCATACAAGGTGTTTATAAAAAGTACGAACGAATTCAAAAATATCAAATTTCTTTATTTTTTCAAATGGAGTACCCTGTATATTTTCATATTTTTGAAATTTGAAAGACTTTTTTAAGGTAACTTTGTACAATAAGTTCTATTTCTATGTTTCACCATTCTCGAGTTATTTAAACAAAAAAAAAATAGACTAATTTCTGCGATTTAATAATTGACAAATAAATTTAATTATCTGTTAGAAGGCTTTGAAACGAACATTTATTTATTAAAAATTTAAAAAATATGTGAACAGTAAATACGTAACAATAAGTAAACAATAAATCATAAACAATCATTATTTTAATAAATCTTGATTGTTATAACCCAATATTGACATTTTTGCTATAAGTTCAAGAACTGATTTCATTTGTCAGATTGACATAAGACCATCAAATGACCAACTAGATAACTCAAAAAAAAGAAAATTCATACCTTATTTAATAAAACTTCGATTATTTCAAAAACTACTAGATTTGGGTATAGGGAGTACCTATATGGATCGAAAGAGCTTAAAAAACTGCATTGGTCCCATTTAAAAAATACAGGGTGATCCATTTGAAATAACAGAGTTATGACCACTTTAATTTGGCCAAGTTTGTCAGACAATTTTAAACGCCCTGTACATGGATTCTGTAAATACAGTTTAGTTTCATTTAGAAGTGTGTCTGGACATCATCGATACTTAATTTCAAGCTTCTAGTTGCATTATTAACAGAGATATCACAGAAAATACATTCGACTGTTTTTCCAAAAAATATTGAAAAAATTGAAATATCTTAAAAATGGTGCATTTTTGGCATATGGTGTTATTATCAAAGTCTAGTTAAAAAAGGCCATAGAATTCAAAAATGAAGTTAAAAATGGCACTTTCCATATAAAATAACGAAGTTGGAGTCAACTTCCGGTGTAACCGGAAGTGTAATCAAAATGAAAATATTTTAGATCAATTCAAATTATCCAAAAAATACTATAACAAAAATTTCAGATTTATAAGTCTTTTCATTATTGAGATACTTCTAATGGACGGTTACCGTGAAAAGCCCTGTATTTCTAAGGTTTGGAAACATAGATCGAAAAAGTGTCGCGTTATTTGAGGATAAAAGAGGGTTCATAAAACGGCCTCTAGGAGGCCATGTTGTAAAGGACCACGGTTTTTTGCGTACGAATTATACAGTGAGGACCAAAAATCCCCCCCTTTAACTTTTGAATGGTAAGAGCTTTTGTTGCGCAATTTGGGGTGTTTATATTGGAGTAAAAATACTATTTTTTGACGTAAAAATTACAGTTGAAACTTTCAAAATGACAGTTAGTGCATAGGCATAGGAAGTTTCCAGACCTTGGAAATATAGGTCCGTGGTAAATATGGAGCATTGGATCTGGATATGGATTTGAATATGGAACACAATCGCATCCTAATTGTTAAACATTACTACCAAAATTACCTGTTTTGAGTTTGTTGGTAATTGCAATAATGGGCTCTGCCAAATAGACAGTTTTAAGACAGTTTTTTAGAGAGTTTTTAAGTTTATTTAATTAACGTTTCCTTAAAAACGAATCGCCCTGTACTATATTTTAATTATTAAAATAATTTTTCACTTAAGATCAAAAAAAGGCCCCGTATATCAATTTTTCCGATTTCCTAAATGAAAAAAACACCCTGTACATCAAATTAAATGTCAACGTATCCATAGAAACGCAAATGTCATCCACTTCGTCTTTCATTCGGGAATGATCGTACGTCATCGTAGATCTGAAAGGTTTCACTTCCGGTTTGACGGCAGCCGTAAAATATGCATCGATTTCGAAATATCTTTATAATTCGATAAATAATAATTAAGAAAATGGGAAAAAAATTTGGTAGATAGAAAAATGTCGTATCTTTAAATTTTCGCTTTCAAAATTTTCTAAAAGATGATAGTTTCCGAGTTTTGGCGTTACAAACCTGAAGACAATATAAAAACGGGTTTTTTCGAAAAAAACTCAAAAAGTACAGATCGGAAAAACACCCGGTCTCTTTTGTTGGATGGAAAAAAGAATTTTCAATTTTTTTGCAAGTATGAAAAATGTTCGTAAATCTTACCTTTTACGAGTTATTTCGACTTTTAGAAAACCCTCGAAAACTATTTTCCACGATATTTTCCCAAAACGAATTTTTCCTGGAAAACGGCTATACACCGTTGGAAATTTAATTTCGCATAATAGGGAAAGTAATGTTAAATTCTTTATTCTCCGAATTTTTTAAAAGTGTAACATAAAATTTAGTCCATTGTAATGCTGCGTTATTAATTTTTCCTAAAAAAAAGGTAATAACTACCGAAAATTTCAACACTAAAATAAACGCTACAAAATCACAAAACTTACGTTTATTTTCATCGTACAAACTAAAAATGAAATAATTAATAGGGCATTCCATTTAAAAAAAAATGTAAGTTGTTGTCATATCTCTTATTTGGGACATCCTGTATAAACACTCACAACCTTTTCTGACCCGCTTTTTAAAATAAAAATCGACGTATCCGAGCTTTTTTTCCCCAATGGACAAATCAAGCATTTAACGAATTTGTTCCAAACTTTAAACTCTGTATTTGATTTCTATTGGCTGTCGTCAAGTTTTTTTTTTTTTTCACTGTACAAGGTTTTATTTTTTTTTTCTAGGTATTCACCTGATACTTCAGCGTTCTCTCCTTATGATAGAAATACTCCTAGTCCTCCGTATGATTCTGAATATGGAGCATCGCCTCCTCCTATGAGGGGTTACAGCCCTTATAGCAGGGACGACGGGAGAGATTACAAAAGACCTTCACATTTATCTAACGGTAGGAATAATAAAGGTATGTTTGAATCGAGCGAGTATACAGTGTGTCCACGGATGGGGTTACCTATATAGGAGAAAAATTTTTATTATTCATTTTACGACAAAAAGATATTGTTTAAAAAAATTTTTGCTTCTTTTAAAAATGAGAATAACACTGAAATATCTTAAATTGGATCTACAGGGTGTTGCCAAATTAAAGAAACATAAAAATACCTCAAGAGAGAAGTACCATTATTTTTTATTTTACACAAAATTTTTATGAAAGAAAGTTGTTTATAATATAAAATAAAGCCTGAATACAAATTTTCAAATTAAAATTCCAATTTTGTTTGTCCACGGATGGAGTTGACCAGAGGGGAAAATGATTATTAATTTTACCACCAAAAGTAATTTTTTATAAAAAAAACTTTCTTGGGAAAATGGGATTCACATACCAAACATTAGATAAGATATATAGGGGGTTAGTAAATTAAAAAACAGGAAAAAATTTCAAGAAAGAAAGAAAGTATTTTTATTATCTTACAGAAAGAAAGAATTTATTTATTATCTTCAATTATTATTTACAAAAAAATACTTTTGCTAATCCAAAGTAAAGTCTAAACACAAATTTTCAAATAAAAAATACAATTTTTACAATTAATTTATTTGAATTTTCTTTGGATTAAAAGCATTTTTTTGTAAGTAATAATGTAAGATAATAAATAAATTCTTTCTTTATGTAAGATAATAAAAATTCTTTCGTTTTTTCTTGAAATTTTTTCTTGTTTCTTAATTTACTAACACCCTTTACGTCTTATCTAATGTTTTTATATGTGAATTTCATTTTCTCGAAAAGTTAATTTTTTTATAAAGAATGGCTTTTCGTCGTAAAATTAATAGATAATAACCATTTTTTCTTATCTGGTCAACTTTATCTAGGGACACACAAAATTGGAATTTTAATTTGAAAATTTGTATTCAGGCTTTATTTTAGATTATAAACAACTTTCTTTTATAAAAAAAATGTGTAAAATAAAAAATAATGGTACTTCCTTCTTGAGGTATTTTCATGTTTTCTTAATTTGGCAACACCCTGTAGATCCAATCTAAGATTTTTCTTAGATTGGAGAAGTATCGATACTCACTACGTATAGAAGTATAGAAGTCTTTCCAAAGTAATGGAAGGATACTTTTTCTATACTTCTATACTTAGATTTTCAATGTTATTCTCATTTTTAAAAGAAGCAAAAATTTTTATAAAGAATGACTTTTTGTTGTAAAATGAATAATAAAAATTTTTCTCCTATAGGCAACCCCATCCGTGGACACACTGTATGTATTTTGAAAGATTTATGATTGGTTTCTTTTTTAAGGTTCACTTATGAGTTCGGGATCAGATCACTCCAACGATTCGATGGGAAAAAGAAATAGAAAAATGGTGTAGCATTTGGGATGTTGTTTTCGTTTACCTATGAAGCTTAAGTAATGTTCTGTCTACATTATATTTTTTTATTATTTTACTTGTTCTGGTGGTTTACTGTATTTATTTTTATAAGATTATAAGTTACAAAAAATGACTCGAGTGATCTAAATTTTTTTTGAGTTGGGTTTTAAAGTTCATTGTTTATGAAACAGTGTATCCTTTATGTGACTGTGATAAGTTAAAGTTAAATCATCGCTAATCAACATATAAAATTTCCATCAAATTGGTTGAACTCGGCGCTTTTTGCATTCTACAATCTACAGGGTGTCTCATAAGTTGATGCTTTTTTTTGGCTGCATTATAGAGCTTTTAATTCTAAGCAACTTTTTTAAGTACTTTTTTTTAATATTCTGGAAAATAAAAAAGATTAATTAATTAATTTCGAATATTTTCCAATTCGTACCTGATATTATCATACAGGTTTCAACAATAAATAATGACAAAAAATTAATTTTTAGATTGCTGAATTGAAAATGGCTCATCTTTGTACAAATAATCAATAATTTGTGGATATACTGATTATTTATGGAGTGTTTTCAATCAAAATAGCGACAATTTTAAGCAGTTCCTTTAACTTTTAATGAACAGAGCCGTATTAACTAACTTCTTAATAATTAAATATTGAAAAAAAAACATGCTCTCTTATTTTCCAGAATATTCAAAAATTTTACTTGAAAAGTTGCTTAGAATTAAAAGATCTATACGCAGTTAATAAAAATCTATCAACTTATGAGACACCCTATAAAGCACAACTATTTTTTCTAGTATCGAGTTATAAATAATTTTCCGATTTATCTGGGAAAATATTTAAAAATTAGATCACTTGCGTCAAAGCAGCAACGTCCGGGGCAATTAGATCTGGTTCGTTAATTCTTATCGATGTTATGTTTGAATTTGAACAATGTAAAAACTGTAAAATATGTAAAAAGTATTTACCAATAAAATTAAATGGGAAAATGCTAAATTGCGACCAAGGAAATATTCAGCAACGACCTAAAAATGTCTGCATGCTCGTACAATTTATGTGCAACAATGCACTTTTCGCAATAATTGACCTTTAGTACCATTCGTTAATAAATTTTATTGCACTTACTGCATTTTAGCTAATGTGCATATTTTGTTTCCATGTAAACAATATTTCTGAATGTAGGGCGTTTTAAAACATCGCAATTCGGAGGTTTTCATATTTTATTGAAAAACTTCAGGAAAACAAATTGCTGTGGTCAATTACAGATGTACAAAAAGAAAAATTACAATACATTTTTAAAATTAAACATATCACAAATCATACGCCTGTAACTGACAAAAAAAATAAATAAATAAGTCTGCATACAAGTTAAAGCAAACTTTAAAATTACAAAATTTCTAATAGTACAAAAAAAAAGAAACGAGCCTAATTTACATATACATCATAACTGGATTTTTTTCTACACGTTTATGAATACGTAGTTAGAAGAATTGGAAATATTATTCGTTAATATATTCTTTTTGTATATGAAAATTAAACAAGGCAGTCATTAAACCACAAAACAAATGTACATACAAATTCATTCGCACTACAATTCAAACACGCACAAGTTTTTAATTTCAGTCTTTTGGGCCTAGAAATTCACTCTATAATTCATCTTTCAATTCATCATCATCATCACCGCCCGACGGCGGCGGTGGTGGAGCCCCTCCGGTGTTTTGATACAACTTAGCAATAATCGGTTGAATCACCTCCTCCAATTCCTTCTTCTGCTTCTTGTAATCCTCGGCGTCCGTGTCTTGGTTCTCTTCCATCCATTTAATCTTCTCATCGAGAACCTCCTCCATCTTCGTCTTCTCCTCGTCGGAGAGCTTCGCTCCGAGTTTCTCCTTGTCGTTGATTTGGTTCTTGATCGAGTAAGCGTAACTTTCCAATTCGTTTTTCGCGTCCACTCTTTCTTTCATCTTCTTGTCCTCGTCGGCGAACTTCTCGGCGTCCTTGATCATCCTTTCGATGTCCTCCGGTGTTAGCCTGTTTTGGTCGTTGGTAATGACGATTTTCTCTCGGTTTCCGGTTCCTGAAAGAACCAAATCGATTTACATTATACATTATACATTAGTATGGAAAAGCTCAATATATCTGTTATTGTAGAAGATATCAAAAAAACTTCAGTTAAAAAGTTGTAGATCTTTTTAAATTGCACATTTTAAAATTAGTTACATTCATACAGAGTGTCCCGTTTTACCGTGGTAGATCAAACTTATACTTTTTTAAATGGAACACCCTGTTTTTTATTTAAAAATTGAATTTAGCTCGTTTTCAGCTTTCCAAAAATATAATTTTGTATAACGTTATACTGAGTGGTTTAAAACTTATGACCACTTTTCCACGAAAATCGTACTAAGTTTACCACTCTGTAGAAACTAAATGGTTTGAATTGAAAATAAATTTCAGGTTTTACAACATTGCAAATATCCTGAAAATGTACAAAATGAATATTTTTTGTCAATTTTAATCATACTGCTTACAGGGTGGATCCCAACGCAAAAGTAACAATTTCTCTGTTAATTTAAATGAATCACCCTATATTTTATATCGTTAACAGGAAGTATTTTTGAAGTACTTTAATTCTTAATAACCATTCCCTATACCTAAATTTAACACTTTTCGAGATAATTCACTTAAAAAAAATTAGAACTTAAAATTGAAGAAGAAAAAATTAAGCTTTCCTTTTTATAATAACCGAAGTTCTGGTAAAAATTGTCTATACTTAATAAACTTTCCCTGTACCTAAATTTAATATTTTTCGAGATATTTCAATATTCTTTAATTGGACTCACCTAATGTGTCACCAGTGATGTTAAAATTACTTTATAATATGTAATTAATTGCAATTACAATTACAAAATTTGCAAATGTAATTATAATTACTATTAAAGTTACAATTACAATTACACTCACAATTACTTTGCGTTGGTGTTAGTTTTAAATAATTATTTAGAGTTTTGCAATCGAAATTAAATTTTCCACGTATTGAAAATATTAAATAAGTACTTTTGTGTCCAATGTAATTGAAATGTAATTGTAATTGTAACGAAAGGAGTAATTGAATTACAAATGAATTACAATTGATGATCTTGTAATTAATTACCGCCTCAATTACAATAAAAGTAATCCAATTACATTTTCAATTACTTGCAATTAATTACTTAACAACACTGTGCCACCCTGCAGATTATAAAACAATAAGAATTTTAGATTGGATAGAAATTACCTTTATCTTCGGCGGATACTTGGAGGATACCGTTGGCGTCGATTTCGAAGGTGACCTCGATTTGGGGTACACCTCTGGGAGCCGGAGGGATGCCGGTCAAATCGAATTTGCCCAGCAAATGATTGTCTTTGGTCATCGGACGTTCTCCTTCGTACACTTGAATCGTAACGGTGTGTTGGTTGTCGGAGGCGGTCGAGAAAATTTGGGATTTCTTTGTGGGAATGACGGTGTTACGAGGGATTAGCTTTGTCATGACACCGCCGACGGTTTCGATACCTGAATTTTGTAAAAAAAATATCCGTTTTAGTCATCGAAATTTTATCAAGTTTTATTTGGTAAATGTGTTGTGTTTATATATATATATCAGTACGCTGGGACGTATTCTTCAATGTATTTAAGACCCGAAAGATGTGAATCATCATTTTAAAACAATTAATTGTTTACAACGTTGGAAATTTAATTTCGCATAATAGGGAAATTAATGTTGAATTCTTAGCCGGCTGAAATACAGTCTACGAGTGTACATTTTAATAGAACGTCGCGATCAATTCTAATAAATTTAATTGTTCTACTGGACCGCACGCCGCGATTTGTAGAGGTACAAAGTTATTTGTGTTAGGTATGAGGTACAAAATTATTTAGAAACTACATTTAATAGGTTTTTTGGGGATATTTCAAAAAATGTGTGTATCGGTAGGTACAGTTTTGAAAGAGCAACAAATCTTGTTGATATAAGGAAAAAAATAATTCAATTTTCTGCTAGAATTATACCTCAGTTCAGTAATATGGGATGACATCTGTATGACAGGTTTGCCTATAGTTTAGCAGAAAGCGGTGAACTATTTTTTAGAGTTCTTTTATTTTCTGATTTAAAATTATCTTTAAGTTTATTTTTGGAGTTTCCTTTTTATTATTTTCTTAGAATTTATAACTTTCTTTTTCAAGCCATTGTGGCAAAAAGACATATCTACATAATTCTATTTTATTATTAGTAATATTTTTTCAATAAATTATCGTTTAAAAATTCTCATTTCTTTTTAATCGACTCGATGTTCACCCATCCTAACCCGTTTTGATACTGTCGAAGTGTCGAAACCGTCGAAATTATTTGATTTTTAATCTAACCTAACCAAAACGCGGTGTAAAATCCAGTAAAACAATTAAATTTATTAGAATTCATCGCGACGTTCTATTAAAATGTACACTGGCAGACTGTATTTCAGACAGCTAAGAATTTAACATTAATTTCCCTATTATGCGCGAATATTTTTCCAACGGTATATACAGTGTGTCCCAAAAAGTTGTATACAAATGGGGAAAATTTTTATCTAACATTTCACAAGAAAAATATTCTTGGTAAAATTATCTGCATGACTTGTAGATCCACAATCATACAGGAAAACAAAAAAGAATGATTTGGACCGAGGAAAAAATATGTTCAAACTGTAGTGGAGAGCAAAATATTCATTGAAATTGTGATTAAGTAGTAAAAAATTATGCATAATTTGTGCATGAGTATGCACAATGAATAGTTTGTGTCTATTTATCTCTCGGTCCAAATCATAATTTTTCGTTCTCCCTGTATTCCTGCATGCAATTTTTTAAACATTTTATACCTGATTGTGGATCTACAAGTCAGGCAGAGAATTTTATCAGGAATATTTTTTTGTGAAATGTAAGGTAAACTTTTTCCCCATTTGTAAACAACTTTTTGGGACAAACTGTATAAAAAGTAAAAAAAAAAAAACTCTTACCCATAGTAAGCGGATTAACATCCAATAAAACAATAGCATCGGTGGCTTCTTCTCCTGATAAAACCCCAGCTTGTACGGCAGCCCCGTAAGCGACGGCCTCATCGGGATTGATTCCCCTCGAAGGTTCTTTTCCACCAAAGAATTCTTTAACGAGCTGTTGGACTTTGGGAATGCGAGTCGATCCGCCTACCAATACGATTTCGTCCACGTCCTTTTTGTTCATGTCGGCGTCTTCGAGCACCTTTTGCACCGGTTTCATCGTCGAACGGAACAGATCCTGCAAGATGAACATTCGCCTAAGTTTTTTGCGCGTTTTTTTTTTGTTTTGTTTACTCGCTAAACGCTCGGAAAGGGGGCTGAGCCCCCTTTCAACCCCCCTTTCTTACGGTGGCGGCTTTGCCGCAAGACAGTTTCCTAGCCGGATCATCGTTAGCTTCGCGAGCTCAGTGCGATTGAATTTTCCTTTGGAAATTAATCACACTCCGTATACAGGGTGTTTCATTGGGAAAGGGCAATATTTTAACCCTGTATAGAGGTCACCCAGGGATTACAAAAAAATCATATACTATGGGTCTTGCGCCCTTTATAACCGAGTTACAGGGTGTTTTTTGAATTTGGCCCATTTCTTTCGACATCTATAACTTTTGAATCACTCAGTATCTTTTTTGATATTTGGCATAGATATTCTATACCTTTAGGACAATTTATTGCCACATTAAAAAATTACAAAATTCAGGTCCGGATTTAGAAAAATTATTAAAATTTGACCGACCCTAAAACAACACCCTATACATCATATTTAAAAAAAAATTAATTTCAAATTCAGAAAGAGCATAAAAAAACTGAATGTATTCATCAACTTTTTATTTTCCCGCATGCCGTTTTTGTACCAAAATTTAAACGTTAAAATGTACATTATGAGATTTTTGGTCCATGTAAATTGTAATTGAAGGGATTTTAATTATTTTTTCTTTAATAAAACCAGATTTACTTAACACTTTCATGAAAATTCTTGAAATAGACCTATTGAACTTGAATTAACATTCACATAAACCAATAAAAATTACAATTACAGATCCGCACTTAATAAAATTAAAAAGATTTCATTTCATTTAATAATTAATCAATAATTAATATAATTAAAATTTCCTTAAATACGAGTCACCCTGTACTATATTTCAATTCAATTGAAAATAATTTTTCATTTAAGGTAAAAAACGCCTCGTATATCAATTTTTCCAATTTCCTTAATGAAAAAACACCCTGTACATCAAATTAAATGTCAACGTATCCCGTAGTAACGGAAATGACAACTTTGACAGTTTGAAATTTGTTCATCGCCGCTGTCATTAGTGTAGTTTTTTTTAAGCAATTCGATCGTTTCTCCGTTTTTGGTAAGTATAAATGACCAAGAAACGTACATTTTTGCGTATTATTGCATTTACTTTTATTCTCGTCCATTAAAAACGACGAAATTGTCTTAATAACGAAAAAAATCTCTCACTTAGGTGTAGTTCCGTTTAAACCAAACGAACGAGCAACGTCCATCAAGTAATTTATTTGGAAATGTGTCAAAAATTTTACTTTTAAAATCGAATTACGGAAAATTTCGTTTTTTCCCCGAGAAAGGGGGTAGATTTTCGTAATCTCCGGAGAAACTCCGTTTTAGTTTCGGTCTTCCTCCTTCATTTGGTTTTTTAGAGTTAGAGCTATATATATTAGTGATGAAATGGTTTACTTACCATGTTCAATTCCTCGAATTTAGCCCTGGTGAGCGTCTCGGAGAAATCGTCGCCTTCGAAGAACGATTCGATCTCGATCCTAACCTGATGGCTCGACGACAGCGCCCTCTTCGCCTTCTCCACCTCTCGCCTCAACTTCTGCACCGCCCTGTTATCCTTCCTAATGTCCTTGCCCTTCTTCTTCTTGTACAACTTGATGAAGTGATCCATCACCCGTTGATCGAAATCTTCTCCGCCCAAATGGGTGTCTCCGTTGGTAGCAACCACCTCGAACACGCCATTATCGATGGTCAATAATGACACATCGAAAGTACCACCGCCCAAATCGAACACCAAAACGTTCTTTTCGCCTTCTTTCTTATCCAAACCGTAAGCAATGGCGGCGGCGGTGGGTTCGTTGATGATCCTCATCACGTTCAAACCGGCAATGACGCCGGCGTCCTTGGTGGCCTGTCGTTGGGCGTCGTTGAAGTAGGCGGGCACCGTCACGACGGCGTGCGTCACCTTTTTGCCCAAATAGGCCTCGGCCGTTTCCTTCATCTTGCCCAACACCATGGCGGAGATTTCTTCGGGCGCGAAGATCTTGTCGCCCTGGCTGGTCTCCACCTGTATGTGGGGTTTCTGGTTCTTTTCGATGACTTTGAAGGGGAAGTGTTTGGCGTCCTGTTGGACGGTGGCGTCGGAGAAGTCGCGGCCGATGAGGCGTTTGGCGTCGAAGACGGTGTTTTCCGGGTTGGTGGTGAGTTGGTTTTTGGCGGCGTCGCCGATGAGGCGTTCGCCGTCGGCGGTGAAGGCCACGTACGAGGGCGTTATGCGGTTACCTTGGTCGTTGGCGATGATTTCGACGCGGCCGTTTTTGTAAACGCCGACGCTGCAAGCGAAGAGGATCGTTAGAAAACGATAGGTAAACAAGTGGTCATAGACCTATTAAGTATGGACGCGGTTTAGACAAAGAGGTAGTGTTGTCGATGAATGAGAGAGATGCAGTTAGTTTGGGCATATGGCAATGAGAGATTGGACAATGCATTAGCCAATAGTAAGATAGCAAAAGACCACGTGAGTTACGTTTTCAGTAATGTAAGGTAGCTGGGATAGAGGAAGGTAGATTATGGTAGAATAGGGTTGAGGATTTATTATTTTTTTACCGAGCAAAATTCATTTTTCAGCTGAGCCTAAATTCCCACGCATTTGCAAATACAGTTCTTATTTTGTATTGTTATTTGGAACCTCCTACCTATTAGACAGTACAGATTTCGCAATTTAAGACCTAGATGCTTTCTCTTGTAAAAAATATGTTTCTTCCAGGTCATTCTTCTGTCCAAGTGGATACCAAGATAAAAATAATATTTAAATATTAAGCGTTTAAATAATTTAACAGATTAATGGCCTTTTTCCGCACACCCTGTATATATTTTATATTTTTTTTGGTTCCGCCTACTTTTAGCCCAAACTAGATCCATCTCACGGACCTCTCTCACTATCATTGGGAACGCTGAATAACCTCAAATTAACGATAGTGCCGCTTCCATACTTAATTATTTTTTTACAATTTTTTTTTTTGGAAAGTTGATGTGAATTGTCAATTGTAACGAGGAAAAAATGGAATTGTTGCTTCGTATTGGGGACGTTCTACTGCTACTGGTAGGGTGAAATAGAGTACTGATTTTTATTGAAATTATTAGGAACTTAAAAAAAATTTACTGAGGAAGATTCTTTTCGGAGCAGGTATTAATCCAATTACACACACCGGCAAATTTAAAGGAACGCATTGAAAATGTAATATATTTCTATATTTTATTGTTTTATAGTCTATATCTAGATAGCTATCAAGGTTTCATATAATAATTAAAATTTTCAATGTCAAAATGTCAAATGTGGGCGTTTTCTGTTTTCAAAACTTCAAAAGTTTGTTTTGTGTCTTACATTTCAAACGTGTTAAAAAGATAACAATAAATTGTTATTAACAGTTTAATTTGTTCGAATTTATTGCTATTGTTTTTTATTTATCATCCTATTTGTATTACAAAGAGCAGTTAATAATGGGCGACTTAATACCGACTAAAATTGCCAAAAATGAATTTAATTATTGAAATAAGTTCAAAATGTACAATAAAGTTATTCTGTTTAAAACCAATATTATTTTTAAAATCTGACTTCTTCGACTTGCTCTTTTCTTCAACAGGTTGCATATGACAAATTTTTGTAAAAAGTGCCCCTATTATATACACTGTGTTATTTATAAGATGCGACATAGGGATTCCTGTACAAATGTGTCAAAAGCAAGCTAACTTTTTTACCAAATAACGTTCATAAAAAATAATAACAGATTTGAAAAGATGGTAAAAAAATATGTCGAAATGGACATTTAATTTTCTTAAATTCGTTCTGGTTTATTAAAAAAATGTATAATTCAGTTGAAAAAGTCATACGCTATAAATAAGTCCTTTTTTTAACTATCTAATTTGTTGTAAAAGGGGCGGAGTTAAAAGAGATTGTTAACGCTCTGCAATTTGAATAATTATTCTTGAAGTTCAAACCGCGCTTGGACCAAATTTTTTTTTGGTCTTTTTTTTAATGTTTTTGTCTAAAAAAATGTTAAATAAAAGTATTTAAATTAAGACAAGCTTAATTGGGATAAAAATTTATTTTTATTTAATTAAATGTTCAAATTGTTTTCCATTTTCTGCTAAACAGTCTCAAACGATGATAAAAGTTCCGCCGTACATTATTAATTACGATTAGTTCTATTAATCATTATTAGATCTACTAATTTTTTGACATTCGTTAGTAATATTTTTCAATTCCTCTTCTGTCTTTGGTTGATATTCAGCAACCTTATTTTTTAGGACACCCAATTAAAAATTGTCCGAACATTTAATTAAATAAAAATAAACTTTTATCCCAATTAAGCTTGTCTTATTTTAAATACTTTTATTTAACATTTTTTCTAGACAAAAACATTAAAAAACCAAAAAAAAAAACAAAAATAAACTTTGGCGCAAACGGGGTTTGAACCACATTATTTCAGGATTATTTTTTATCCTTTTTATAGAAAAGGAATTATTTATGCCGTATGACTTTTTCAACTTAATTATATATTTTTTTATTAAACCAAAACGAATTTAAGAAAATTTAATGTCCATTTCGATTTATTTTTTTTACAATCTTTTCAAATCTGTTATTATTTTTTATGAACGTTATTTGGTAAAAAAGTTAGCTTGCTTTTGACACATTTGTACAGGAATCCCTATGTCGCATCTTATAAATAACACAGTGTATAACTATTATAACATTATAACCATTATAACTATATAAATTGTCAATTATAACGATGAAAAAATGGAATTGTTGCTTCGTATTAGGAACGTTCTACTGCTACTGGTAAGGTGAAATAGAGTACTGACTTTTATTGAAATTATTAGGAACTTGAAAAAAAAGTTATAATAATTTAGTGAAGAAGATTCCTTTCGGAGCAGGTATTAATCCAATTACACACACCGGCAAATTTAAAGGAACATATTGAAAATGTAATGGCGTTTTCCATTGGATAGTGCAGTCAAAGAAAAATTTTTGTTTCATTTGGTGGACTTTGCGAGTGTTTTGATTTCCAAAAGTGTTTTTTGGTAGTCAGATTGCCAATGGAAATCAAAACACTCGCAAAGTCCACCAAATGAAACAAAAATTTTGGTTTAAATGCACTTTCAGTGCGCATTATTTTACCAATGGAAAACACCATAATATATTTCTATATTTTATTGTTTTATAGTCTATATCTAGATAGCTATCAAGGTTCCGTGTCATAATTAAAATTTTCAATGTCAAAATGTCAAATGTGGGCGTTTTCTGTTTTCAAAACTTCAAAAGTTTGTTTTGTGTCTTACATTTCAAACGTGTGTTAAAAAGATAACAATAAATTGTTATTATAATTAATCAGTTTAATTTGTTCGAATTTGTTGCTATTGTTTTTTATTTATCATCCTATTTGTATTACAAAGAGCAGCTAATAATGGGCGACTTAATACCGACTAAAATTGCCAAAAATGAATTTAATTATTTAAATAAGTTCAAAATGTACAATAAAGTTATTCTGTTTAAAACCAATATTATTTTTTAAATCTGACATCTTCGACTTGCTCTTTTCATCAACAGGTTGCATATGATAAATTTTTGTAAAAAGTGCCCCAATTACTTCACCTAACTTTGTGTTAAGAAATATTAACAATATGTATGTCATAGAGAAAATAATCGGATTTTATATCTGTTCCATTAAATATGCCGGTGTGTGTATATTAATAATTTTAGAATGATTTATATACACTGCTTCATTCCAGATCACAATATATCTTATATAGGCTATAGGTGCGATAAAGACAACTTACATTAGACACTTATAAAGAAAAAAGAAAGACCGACATTTCTGTCATTGCAACTTTTCACTCTGACAACTGTCATTTTAACAATCTTTCTTTGTTCAACTCATAGAAACGACCATGTTGCGATCTGGAGTGAAACACAGTGTATATTGTTTTATTTGCTCCAAATAAAAAGGTATTTGTTATAAACATCAGTAAATATTGGTAAGTAGTTGATTTGACTTCATTTTAATTGCTTATAAAATCTGGCAACACCATCTTTCTCAGATGTCAAATTTTAAAATTTTTAGGTTATATCATCATGAGTTCGCGATTAAAAAATGACAGATTTGTTAAACCAAAAACCCGTAAATGCGGTACAACGTTGCCAAGTCATCTGTTATTTATCAGATGATGAGAAAACTTGAAAATTATATGAAAATTTACTACTTTTGTACGTTATTTATAATAAAATGTATACCGCTTGTTATTCTTATTTTTAAAGAAAGATATTTGTTACATCTTCAATTAATGATACTCAGTTTCTCAAAAGAATCGTAAGAAAAGTACGATTATAGTACGTAAAGAAAAGATTATTTTAAAAGTCACCAAATTTACAAATATGCAAAATTAAATGTTTTCCGAGTGGATTTTTTGCCACTATCTCTATAACTCATATTAAATTTGGCGATCAAAAAACCTGCAACTTTTAAATTAATCTCAATATTTGTAAACTTCCATAACTTTTGTAGAGCAGTATATTTACAAATTTAGTACCGCAAGGACTTTGAAAAAAAAATTCCTACGTATAGAGTACAATTATAAGTATATACAGTGTTAGAAAATTTTTCGCGCATAATAGGGAAATCAATGTTAAATTTTTAGCCGGCTGAAGTCCAGTCTACCAGTATACATTTCAATAGAACGTCGCGATGAATTCTAATAAATTTAATTGTTCTACTGGATCGCACGCCGCGATTTGTAGAGGTACAAAGTTATTTGTGTTAGGTATGAGGTACAAAATTATTTAGAAACTACATTTAATAGGTTTTTTGGTAATATTTCATAAAAATGTGTGTATCGGTAGGTACAGTTTTGAAACAGCAACAAATTTTGTTGAAATAAGGGAAAAAATAATTCAATTTTCAGCTAGAATTATACCTCAGCTCAGTAATATGGGATGACATCTGTATGGCAGGTTTGGCTATAGTTTAGCAGAAAGCGGTAGACTATTTTTTAGAGTTCTTTTATTTTCTGTTTTAAAATAATCTAAATTTATTTTTGAAGTTTCCTTTTTATTATTTTCTTAGAATTTATAACTTTCTTTTTCAACCCATTGTGGCAAAAAGACATATCTACATAATTCTATTTTAATAATAGTGATATTTTTTCAATAAATTATCGTTTAAAAATTCTCATTTCTTTTTAATCGACTCGACGTTCACCCATCCGAACCCGTTTTGATACTGTCGAAGTGTCGAAACCGTCGAAATTATTTGATTTTTAATCTAACCAAGCCAAAGCGCGGTGTGAAGTCCAGTAGAACAATTAAATTTATTAGAATTCATCGCGACGTTCTATTGAAATGTACACTGGTAGACTGGATTTCAGCCGGCTAAGAATTTAACATTGATTTCCCTATTATGCGCGAAAAATTTTCCAACACGGTATATACCAAGTTTCGATCAAATTGTAAGAAAACTGATTATTACAGGAACATCCTTAAACACTTCCTCAATAAATGAGATAAAACTACATCATTTTTATACCATGCGGATAAACCATATGTCCGGTCATCCTAACCGCTAATTTGCGATAAAAACCGGGAACTTACCACGAATAAGTCGTGCCCAGATCGATTCCGATAACGGTCCCCACATCGTCCTTTTCCTTTTTCTCGTCCTTCGCCGCGAGGACGCTGCAGACGAGCAGCAAACCCAAGCCTAAGCAGAACTTCATTTTCGGGAATGGACTTCTCTCGTCGGTTTCTGAAAAGGTAACTGGATTAATTTCGTTCGCGTGTAACGGTAAATATCGGTAGATTACGATGGGAGTGTTGAAAAATTTTACACTGGCATAACTGTATAATGGACACGTCATGTTTTATTGGGATGAAATAACAGGTTAAATACTTGTATTTTTTTACTAGGGAGCTTAATTTTGTGTTAAATATAGTGCGTTATAAAGATTTAAAGCGGTGAATGTGTATTTATAGGACTTTAACGAGATTGTTCTGGAACATTCGCCGACAACATGTAAAAACTAAAACATCGATTTTCTAATAAAATAAGCAACTCTCTGAAACTTCCTTTGAACCAAACGAAAATCTAAGCTTTAACACTTACTTTTTGATTAAGCCGCAATAAGAAATACACTTATTTCACTAAATAAAAATCTACCAATTCTTCACGATACAAGCTTCTATGACAAACTAATTTGACTTTTCCGAATATGTCAGAAATATATAATGAAGTAATATTCGTGTTGCCTGGCGATTGGTCGCAGTTCGAACGAGGCGAGTTCTTATTGGCCTGAATCTCACATGTTGGCGCGATTTCATTGGTCCAACTCAGAGCTGTGCAGTTGCGGTCCACGGAAGCGTTCGTACACGATTTCAATCGATTCGATCACTGTAGGAATCAGGTCAATCGGATCAGAACTGGCTACAAAGACTGTCAATGATACAAAATAAAACAGAAGAATTAAAAAAAGGCCAAACTGTCAAACGTCAGATATAATAAGTGAGGTTGTGTTACTTAATTTTTTAGTCTTTATTCAAAATTTATATTTTACGTAGAAAAGATAATAGAACTAAACTGTTACCTAAATGGAACTGTATAGTAAAACATATTACTATCCGATAACAGTTCACATCATGTTTTTGCGTCAAATTAAAGAAAAGTTTACTACAAAATTTGAAGTCATGTTGATAAATAACTGTTCCAAAAAGTGCTTCTAATATGTAAATTTATTTTCAATAAAGATGTAATTAGTATATATTTTTTTATTAAATTAATGTTCTTTATAGTCCTCCTATACACATAAAAGTGCAAAACAACTACACTATAAAAATTAGATTAGTATAATTCGGCAAATGAAGGTTATTTTTACATCATTAATACTATTACATTATACAGGGTATACCACGGTCGATGGCAGGTTAGGCGTTTAGGGAAAACGGAGAGTACGATTGTCGTGAAAATTTGGTTATTTAGGTAATTGGTCCTGCTCTATCGATTTAAAATATTTTCAACGCTGCGGCGTTGCCACTTCTATCGAAAAGTAGCAGCAACTTTGTTATTTTAAATGAGACACCCTGTATATTTTTACATTTTTTGCTCCGCTATTGCTTTCCGATTATTTTTGTATAATACTTCCCTATACCTATCTTTAGCGCTTTTCGAGAAATTCATTATTTTATTTAATTTTTTATTCAAAACATAGCTCCATTTAAATGTTGATTACCGCGGTAATTAGATTAGGAGAAAGCTGAAATTTTTGGAAATGGATTAGAGATGCATTAGGTATTAGTTCGCTATAATCGATTTTTTTTTATTCATACAGGGTTGTTCAAAAATTGTCATTTTATCGCTAGATATACAAATGCAAATAAGTTCATTTTTTTAAATGGAATATCCGGTATATTTTTAAATATTCAAAAAGATAATTAAATTCTCATTCAAATGGTATATCATGTTCCTATACCTAAATAATCATGTTTCCGAAATAAAAGCAAATTTCTATAAAAATCTGATTATTTTGGGAATTTGTATTAGGTAGCTGTGAAATCATGAAATGTCATTAAATTTGACATTTAATGGACATTTAATGGAAGGAAATAATTTTTCAAATGAAGTTCCTATGAATTTATTTATTCTTCATGGACAATGTGACAAAATTATAGATAGAACATGCAGAGAGTTCAATGTAATGTATCCGAATTTACAACCAATGAACGAGAAAAAGTTTGTAAGATTGCTTAAGAATTTCGCTAATTATGGATCAAAACTGAGAGAGACGAAAACATGTCAGTTATAAACATAAAAATAAATAAATAAACATAAAAATAATAACAATAAGAAGTACAAAAAAAACCTTCATTTGAACTTCATTTGAATAATTATTTCATTCCATTTCAATTGTTTTTAGTTTAAATACTTATGTAGAACAGACGTTTTATTATTTATAACTAATTGGCACTAAATGTCAAATTTGGATGACATTTCATGATTTCACAGCTACCTAATACAAATTCCCAAAATAATCAGATTTTTATAGAAATTTGCTTTTATTTCGGAAACATGATTATTTAGGTATAGGAACATGATATACCATTTGAAAGAGAATTTAATTATCTTTTTGAATATTTAAAAATATACCGGATATTCCATTTAAAAAAATGAACTTATTAGCATTTGTATATCTAGCGATAAAATGACAATTTTTGAACAACCCTGTATGAATAAAAAAAAAATCGAATATAGCGAACTAATACCTAATGCATCTCTAAGCCATTCCCAAAATTTCAGCTTTCTCCTAATCTAATTACCGCAGTAATCAACATTTAAATGGAGCTATGTTTTGAATAAAAAATTAAATCAAATAATGAATTTCTCGAAAAGCGCTAAAGATAGGTATAGGGAAGTATTACACAAAAATAATCGGAAAGCAATAGCGGAGCAAAAAATGTAAAAATATACAGGGTGTCTCATTTAAAATAACAAAGTTGCTGCTACTTTTCGATAGAAGTGGCAACGCCGCAGCGTTGAAAATATTTTAAATAGATAGAGCAGGACCAATTACCTAAATAACCAAATTTTCACGACAATCGTACGCTCCGTTTTCCTTAAACGCCTAACCTGCCATCGACCGTGGTAAACCCTGTATAAATAATTGATTATCACTCTGAGTACTTTTTAAATAATTATCGACAACCAATTTAAGATATTCTAATGATGAAATAAATAAATTATGATTGTTTCTAGAATTGTCGCAGTTCAATTATAATTAAACATGTTTGTTTCAAATCTATGTGTATTGTTAACGTTAATTCATTTTGGAGTTGGTGAGATACAAACTTACACCTAATTATAATATTAAAAAATACAGTTTACTTTAATCTAAGGACGTAGTTATCTTGTTTAGATATACAGAGTTGGGCAAAAGTCCGGAATAAAATTATTATCTTTTGAACCAGTAATTTAAATAAAAAACGCTGAAACACGTGAATTGATTTTATATTGGACGGATTTGTTGCCAATAAAATGATTTTTTTTCTTCAACCCCTTAGTTGCCACCCTACCCAACTTTTTTTTTCAAATGCAAAGGTATGTCGTGTGTAGGGTCATTGAAAAGCCCGTGAAAAATGGAATATAAAACATACCTTTTTTTATTTTTTCTCATGTTGTTATTTGGAAATGGACAAAAATTTCTTTTAAAAACAATAAAGTTACAAATACCTTTTTAGTGCTATCGACATAGCAATTTTTAAAATGTCCTCCACCATCTACTTGACAGGTTTCCAGGCATTGGTAAAACGTAATATCGATAGCATATCTTTAATTCTGAATGACTTTTTAATAAAAACAGGCGAACCTTAGATAAAAAAAAAAACTTGTACAAAAATGCAACATCTTTTTTCCTTTTTGAAGTTCACTGATCAACAATGGCTTAGAATTAAACCCATTTTATGTTTTAGTTTTTTCTTAAAACATAAATTTCAACGAATGTTGATGCTAAGTTGCCTTATCAGTTTTAAACGGTAAATCAATAAAATTTGGTGTGCTGCCTGCCCAGGCTCGCCTGTTTTTAATAATAATTCATTCAGAATTAAAGATAGGCTACCGATATTAGGTTTTACCATCGCCTTAGAGCCTGTTAAGTAGAGGGTGGAGGACATTTCCAACATCTGCTACCTTAATTCACACATCGATAGCACTAAAAAGGTATTTGTAACATATTTGTTTTTAAAAGAAATTTTTGCCCATTTCCAAATAACAACATGAGAAAAATAAAAAAAAAGGTATGTTTTAGATTCCATTTTTCACGGGCTTTTCAATGACCCTACACACGACATACCTTTGCATTTAAAAAAAAAAGTTGGGTAGGGTTGCAACTAAGGGGTTGAAGAAAAAAAATCATTTTATTGGCAACAAATCCGTCCAATATAAAATCAATTCACCTGTTTCAGCGTTTTTTTGTTTAAATTACTGGTTCAACAGATAATAATTTTATTCCGGACTTTTGCCCAACCCTGTAATTAATTTTCATACCTTACCTGGTTTGAAACCACTAAAAATCCAACAAAAAAAAAGTCTACCTTGTAGACCGGACTGTTAATTTTACAATTCACAATTCCAGCCTCCGACTTAGACGAAGCCGTCGCCATTATGACTTGCGCTAAAGCAGCCTTTAGCGTTGGCGTTCCTGAATTAAATGTCCCCTCTTACGAACCCTTTTATCAGATGGAACGAAACTTTAGCTTCCGTGGAGACATCGGATCTTACACCGGGTACAACGCAGGGCCCTTCCCCAAAGCTCTAAATTAATTTCCCCTTTCGACTTCCAGAGCTGAAGTCACGCTCAGCCAGATAAAATGGACGGGATTAACCTACTGGGACGTTATCGCTGCTCAATCGAGCCTCGACTCGAATCCGAACGCTCATTTTCCATTTTTACTGAACTGGAAGACCCTGGATATCGACGGACATTTCGATATGGTGGAAGATAAGGGGGTTGTCATTTTGGAACAGCACGGAAGTTTCTCGTATGTTAACTAGACAAACTACACCTTTTCCAGTTGTATATTAGAAAGCATTTAATGTATTTCAGAATAGTCAGATTTATATCAGAAAACGTCAAACGTATTTCAGATTAGTTAAATGTTGTTCAGAATAGCCAAATGTATTTCAGACAACGTCAAATGTATTTCAGAATAGTCAGATTTATTTCAGAAAGCGTCAAATGTTTTTTAGATTAGTCATATGTAGTTCGGAATATATCAAATGTCGTTTAGAAAAGGTTAAAAACCATTCAGAATAGTCACATGGAGTTCAGAATAGTAAGATTTCTCTTCCTCCCTCTTACCCTTTGGATATGATTTTCTGCATTCCAATATGTAGTCTGAAATACATTTAACATTTTCACAACTACATATGACGCTTTCTGAAATAAATCTGGCAAATCTGAAATACATTTGACTAATCTGAAATACATTTGACACTTTCTGAAAAAAATATGACTGTTCTGAAATGTATTTGATGCTATCTGAAATTCGTTTGACTAGTCTGGAGTACATTTGATTATTCTGAAATACATTTAACACTTTCTAAAATTAATCTGACTAGTCTGAAATGCATTTGATTGATTCTGAAATTAATTTGATAGCTTCCGAAATACAACTGGAAATGGTGTAGAAAAAAAATCATATCGACTAACCTCTGTCAAGCTAGCAGGACCAAATCAGCAGAATCTATTCGGACCTATTGCATTATTTAGTGCTTATTTTGTGATAATTTGTGCCACTAATAAAAAATTTGTACTATCTGCCGTTTTGACAAAAATCGTGGCGCTGCTAGCTTAATATTAAGCTAGCAGGAACACTTACAAAAATGAAATAAAAAAATAAAAAAAGGGTATAAATACAACGGCCAGAATTTGTGCTAATTTGTGCCATCCAAAACAAGCAGCTAAATAGATTAATTTCCCTTGAAATAAGGGCGAATTATATTTATCACGATTGGGCTCAAGAGTAAAGTACCCGTTTCGACGAGCAGAATTCAATTTGGACCGGTACAATCGAAGTATACTAATTTGTGCTTCACAAATATACACTTACGGATTTTGTACCTCTTACCCCTTCTCTGAAAAACCACCCCCGATAGCAGTTTGCACGAGCAGAATTCAATTTGAATTTGAAGTTTTTCAGAGAAGGGGTAAGAGGTACAAAATCCGGATCAGTCAGTATTGGAAACCTTGAAACCTACTCGACTTAAGACAGCGTGCAAGTGTGCAAAGGATGTTTGTATTGTGAAACAAGGCAATATTTTTACATACATCTCTCATTTTACATATACATATTTTATATTATCGCTCGTAGTTTGCACTTTTCTCGACGACTTTTCTCTATTCGACGCACTCATACGCACTATTGGAGTCTTCTACTAACTTCTCCAAGTTTTCTAAGTTCTACTAAGTTCTATAAGTTTTCTAAGTTTTTCACTAATCGCACTTTTACAAATGACAAATTGAATTCTGCTCGAGCAAACGGCTCTCGAGGGTGGTTTTTCAGAGAAGTGGTGAGAGGTACAAAATCTGTAAGTGTATATTTGTGAAGCACAGATTAGTATGCTTCGAATGTACCGGTCCAAATTGAATTCTGCTCGTCGAAACGGGTACTTTACTCTTGAGCCCAATCGAGGTAAATATAATTCGCCCTTATTTCAAGGGGAATTAATCTATTTAGCTGCTTGTTTGGGATGGCACAAATTAGCACAAATTCTGGCCGTTGTATTTATACCCTTTTTTTATTTTTTTATTTTATTTTTGTATGTGGTCCTGCTAGCTTAATATTAAGCTGATAGCGCCACGATTTTTGTCAAAACGGCAGGTAGTACAATTTTTTTAGTGGCACAAATTAGCACAAAATAAGCACTAAATAATGCAATAGGTCCGAATTGATTCTGCTGATTTGGTCCTGCTAGCTTGACAGAGGTTATCAACTAATCGTCTTCATATTGCAGCCTTTCTTTTAGTAATTCTAACTGGAAAGGATTGGTAGACGTCACGAAACCTACTAGTAAAAGTAATGGATCTATTAATGATTGCCAGATTGATTGGTCCACTAAATATTTAACGGTACTAATAGCTTACCGAGGTGGGAATGGGAATTGTTGTACTGTAACTGCTGAGTAGTTAAAGTTGGACTTGAGCCTATACAGGGCTTTTCACGGTAACCGTCCATTAGAAGTATCTCGATAATGAAAAGACTTAAAAATCTGAAATTTTGGTTATAGTATTTTTTGGATAATATGAATTGATTTAAAATATTTTCATTTTGATTACACTTCCGGTTATACCGAAAGTTGACACCAACTTCGTCGTTTAACAGTGACCAATGCAGTTTTTTAAGCTCTTTGGATCCATATGGTTATGCCCTTTACCCAAATTTAGTAGTTTTTGAAATAATCGAAGTTTCAATCAATTTCAAAAATACAGTGTGATCCATTTGAAATATCAAAGTTATGACCACTTTAATTTGGCCAAGTTTGTCAGACAATTTTAAACGCCCTGTACATGGATTTTGAAAATACAGTTTAGTTTCATTTAGTAGTATGTCTGGACATCATCGATACTCAATTTCAAGCTTCTAACTGTATTATTAACAGAGATATCTCAGAAAATACATTCGACTGTTTTTCCAAAAAATATCAAAAAAATTGTAATATCTTAAAAATCGTGCATTTTTTGGCATATGGTGTTATTATCAAAGTCTAGTTAAAAAAGGCCATAGAATTCAAAAATGAAGTTAAAAATGGCACTTTACACATAAAATAACGAAGTTGGTGTCAACTTCCGGTATAACCGGAAGTGTAATCAAAATGAAAATATTTTAAATCAATTCATATTATCCAAAAAATACTATAACCAAAATTTCAGATTTTTAAGTCTTTTCATTATTGAGATACTTCTAATGGACGGTTAGCGTGAAAAGCCCTGTATAGGGCATCAATATCAACTGGGACCTATATTTAAATTGTTATAGGTGGTATAAAAAAGTTATAAATAGAAAATGATAGAGACTCATAAGTATAACTGGGTCCAAATAGCCTGGGACTGGAGCCTTTCTTCATAAAAGTTCAGGTTCTAGATTCGTCTAGGTCAATCAATTCCTGGGTCCCACCGAGGTTTCCACTCTATTAAATACAACTTTGTATATTATACAGTGAGGACCAAGAGTTGGTCGCCCCCCCCCCCTTTAACTTTTGAATGGTAAGAGATTTTGTCGCGCAATTTGGGGTGTTTATATTGGAGTAAAAATACTATTTTTGACGTAAAAATGACACTTAAAACTTTCAAAATGACAGTTAGGCGCCATTTTGAATCTTTTTTTCTTATGAAAAGAGGGGTCAAGTGACACCTCGTTTTAAAAGTAATTTCATCCTTAAGTCTACCCCCAAATTTGAAAACATTTTAATTACACGTATTCACGTGAAGACTAATTTAGTTATAACCCCCGGGCATATTGATACACTTAAGAATTAATTCAGAACGTACTATAAATTGTGTCAATTAAATGTTGCTATGGTTTCTTGGCTCTAACATTTATTTGTCAAATTTAAAGTTGATGAAATTGACAGTTTTTTCGTTTAAAGGACGAGCCATTTTACCGAAATTTTGAAAAGTGCAACATAAAATTTAGTTCATTGTAATGCTGAAAATTTGAAAACATTTTAATAAGGCATATTCATAGTTTTTCGTTTAAAGGACGAGCCATTGTCACTTTCATCAACTTTAAATTTGACAAATAAATGTCAGAGCTGAAACCATAGCAACAATTAATTGACACATTTTATAGTACGTTCAGAATTAATTCTTAAATGTATCAATATTCCCGGGGGTTAAAACTAAATTGGTCTTCACGTGAATACGCGTTATTAAAATGTTTTCAAATTTGGGGGTTGACTTAAGGATGAAATTACCTTTAAAACGAGGTGTCACTTGACCCCCCTTTCCACAAGAAAAAAAGATTCAAAATGGCGCCTAACTGTCATTTTGAAAGTGTCAACTGTCATTTTTACGTTAAAAAAATAGTATTTTTACTCCAATATAAACACCCCAAATTGCGCGACAAAAGCTCATACCATTTAAAAGTTAAAGGGGGGGCCACAGACTTTTGGCCCTCACTGTATAACTATTTTTGGTTAAATTTTCCACAATAGATGGAATGAGATTAGTTTAATTCTCTAGTAGATGTTCCGTGTTTGATTACACTTGACATAAAATCAAACATACAAGAAAGTAAAACAAGAAATCCTTTTCAGACTATTTTAAATTCAATTCTCTTTCCAGCAATTTGAAAAGATAAAAGTAGGATTTTAAAAATAGTCGTTAAAGTGCTCTAAAAGTATCCCGGTGTACTGGAAATACCTTATTTCATATTACTTGCCCTTAAAAAAGTGCAAATTATCCAAAAATATCTGAAAAACGGATACTTTTGGCACCGCTGTCGCTAATCAAATTTAAAAAAATGTTTTGTGATTTGACATTTATATCAGGCGACACCATAATTTACAGAAATCTATCATCATTTTCTAAAATACTTTAGTTTTTTTCAATTTAATACAGCCTGTGCATCAATATAAACTATGAGACATCGTTCTGTAATAAATATTCTTCATCGTACTAAAATTATTCAAACATCCATTCGAGGAAACTCGAATTTTACCAGAATTACGTTTTGCCATTTAAATAGCATTGCAAATAAATGACAGTTTTTGATTGCAATTTTCTTAAATATACAGTGTGTCTACTTAAGTTCGCACCATATGGAAAACTTTTTTTATTATTAATTTTACGAAAAAAGTTATTCTTCATAAAAAGTTCTGCATGTTTTAAAACCTAAAATACAACCATCAGATAACAATTTTTTTAATCCGTATACGAGGTTTGTCAAAAGAATGTGTTTTTTGCTCAAGAGTAAAGTACCTTTATTTTTGAAAATATCGAAAATTGTTATTAAGAAAAGTTGATCAGGACTAAAAATTACATTTTTTAATGTTAATGACCCCCCTATCCATAAGAAAAAAAGATTCAAAATGGCGCCTAACTGTCATTTTGAAAGTTTCAACTATCATTTTTACGTCAAAAAATAGTAATTTTACTCCAATATAAACATCCCAAATTTCGCGACAAAAGCTTTTGACGGACTTTTGGACCTCACTGTAGACATTATCTGCTTATTTGTAAGTTGCTTATAGAAGCTTCTATGTTTTAGGTGGTAATAGATGGTTTGGGTATACTGGACGAACCGATTTCAAAAAGTATTCAAACTAAGCTATTTGCAGCTTTAAACAAGCATCAAATCGGAAACGTTATTGGGGAATACATAAAGGACGTGTTGAAAACGTGGTGGGACGAGGGCAAAGTGTGGAGACTGATGGAGTGGTGCGAAAAAAACCCTTCCTATCAATAATAAGATAAAAAAATGTAAAAATAAAATAAAAGCATTTGAAGTGCGTCTTGAGTATTTGGCCCACTTTTATCTCTATATCGATCTTCCTATAACATTTAAATGGTTCTTGAAGCACCCAATGAGGAATATGGAACATCACCAGGCGAGTGTAAGGTTCAATAAATTTAAGGTATCGCAACGAATTTCTAAGTAACACCACTCGAATCGGCTTCTATCGAAGTATCTATTCATGAAAATTAAGAAACAATCACATTCACAAGTACCATACAGATAATAAAAATGTATAAAAGCGCCGATTACCTTTCAGAAGCTCATTCATTTGATTCGTACAGTTCAACATGTTCTTCGAAAAATCGATCGTATTATTGGGCTTCGCCCTGTTGGCAGTCAACGCTGGTAAGAAACACTTTTTAACCATCGTAATTTTCTCGTTAAATAAAGGATATTCGCGCTCGTTAGGCAATGACGTCATTTTTAGACGACGTCATTAATTTCCACGCAGTTCAACATTTCCCTAGTGTCAATGTTAATTCTCCCATTTGACTAGGGGAATTTAACGAGGCGTAGTTGAAAGTCGAAGGCGATGTTGTCATGCATTTAGTCTCAACATTCGCAATATTTAGCGGCGCTTTGTAGATGACACTTTGACAGGTTATGACTACGATTTGTTGTTTTTTGCGCGATTTTCCTGTATTTTTTTAAGTTTACGAGTAGATTTTGTGTTTTTCGTTCGTTCTAGATAGTTTTTCGTGCGGTTTATGTACATTTATCGACAGTTTCTCCCGCGATTTTCTGTGTTTTTCAACCTATTTTGAGAGAGAACGGGACGATGTAGGCCCTTTTTTCCCGATTAATTCCCGATCAATATTTTCGATAGTTCAGCACATTGAAATTTACAGGTTATGTTAAACTTACGAATAGTTTTTTAAATGTACAGGGTGGCCAAATAAGGATGGCTCTCGGCCATATCTCGCAAACTAATTGTCATAGAGACTTGCGGTAAAAAAACCAATGACTAAATCGGCAAAAAGAAAATGCTGGAAATAATTTTCAGGTCTCTAAAATGGCCGCTAGGGGGAGTATTCGCCATCTTGATTTTAAAAAGTCATTTTTTTCAAAATTTTCCTAAATAAAGGTATCAAAAATGTGTTTTATTTTGATAGTTAAGTTAATTTCGGTTATTTTTAGTAATATATTTTTGACTCTATCTTTTAAAATAAAGTGGTGGGGGTGGTTTGAATATTTTGACAAATAAATGTTAATAACTTTTAAATGGCTGAACCGATTTTCAAAAAAATGAAATTGTTGAAAAGGGCATTCTTTGGTCTATAATTTACGCTATATAAGATATTATTTTAATTGCTTGCTTTGCCGCAAGATGGCGTTTTTTGACATTACTTCAAACAACACCGATTTTCTCAAAAAATTTAAATGCAACGATATAACTTTTTCTTTGGAGAAAAATAGTCAAATAATTACCAAAAAAGCCTGTGAAAACCGAATCTCGATATCTCCTTCCTAACCTAAAATATATCTGAAAAAAGTAAAAATCAAGAAAATGCGTATATTTTTGGTGCACTACCAGTATAAAAATCTCTAATTAGCGTTGTTCCATCCACAAAAATTATCAATTTATTAATAATCTTCAAGTATGATATTTAGAAACACCAAGCTAAGTAATATTCATTCAATAATTATTGGATTTCTTCTATTCGCACTAGTTGAGAACAAACGAAATAACCGTGCCGTGGAAAATAAAAAAAAAACAAAAAAATCTAACTAACTAGTCTACAAAAATGAGCTGGGCATTCATCGGGTTGGGAATACATATTTCTTTGAGTTTCCAGACGAACATCTACCAATAACCCAGGAAATTCGTTACGTAAATAATTTAGAAATATTTGTCCGTTGAGTCGCCCATAAATAAACCAGGGAACAACAACTTTCACCTTGTATACCACACCACACGTTGATACCAACGTCCTTAATTATTCTGGACCTTCTGCGTCCAGTTTTTTGGTTTTTTAATTTTCCACGGCATGGTTATTTCGTTTGTTCTCAACTAGTGCGAATAAAAGGGAAATCCAATAATTATTAAATGAATATTACTTAGCTTGGTGTTTCTAAATATCATACTTGAAGATTATTAATAAATTGATAATTTTTGTGGATGGAACAACGCTAATTAGAGATTTTTATACTGGTAGTGCACCAAAAATATACGCATTTTCTTGATTTTTACTTTTTTCAGATATATTTTAGGTTAGGAAGGAGATATCGAGATTCGGTTTTCACAGGCTTGTTTGGTAATTATTTGACTATTTTTCTCCAAAGAAAAAGTTATATCGTTGCATTTAAATTTTTTGAGAAAATCGGTGTTGTTTGAAGTAATGTCAAAAAACGCCATCTTGCGGCAAAGCAAGCAATTAAAATAATATCTTATATAGCGTAAATTATAGACCAAAGAATGCCCTTTTCAACAATTTCATTTTTTTGAAAATCGGTTCAGCCATTTAAAAGTTATTAACATTTATTTGTCAAAATATTCAAACCACCCCCACCACTTTATTTTAAAAGATAGAGTCAAAAATATATTACTAAAAATAACCGAAATTAACTTAACTATCAAAATAAAACACATTTTTGATACCTTTATTTAGGAAAATTTTGAAAAAAATGACTTTTTAAAATCAAGATGGCGAATACTCCCCCTAGCGGCCATTTTAGAGACCTGAAAATTATTTCCAGCATTTTCTTTTTGCCGATTTAGTCATAAGATTTTTTACCGCAAGTCTCTATGACAATTAGTTTGCGAGATATGGCCGAGAGCCATCCTTATTTGGCCACCCTGTATATTTCTGTTTTAGAGGGTTTTGAATAGACCTATTCAGTTTACGAAAGAGAGTGATGGAGTTATTTGATCAACATAAGAGAATAAAAGAAGCAAATATGTTTCACGCGCAATCTCCCACACAGCAAATTTACGACTCTAGGATATATCAGGGACGTCAATAATGAGACATAGTATATCTCTGAGATCTTCAGAAATATTTTTGAGATATAATCGGGATATCTTTGAGATATCTTTATGTCCGCCTTGTAAACATCTCAAAGACGTGTTATTGAGATATCTCAGAACCGTTTAAAAATATCTCAAAGATATCTCGCAGCTTATATACTTAGTGCATCTGAGATATTATTTTAAATATTATTGAGACATAACCAGAATACTAAGAAAGTACTTTATTTTTTCAAATCTTATTAAATTACATCATTCTGTTCTTGCTCGCTCTTGTTTTTCTCTTTCCCGGTCCTTCCTTAATGTTGCCAGTCTTAGCCAGTTCTTTATAACTTCCGATATTTCATAGTCTGAAGTTAGTTCTTTACCTTTTTGACTGCGAATTGAATCTGAAAAATAAAATTCAAGTATTAGAAAAACATTTTACAGTGAAATTGTGAATGAAAACTCGATGTAACGAAAATTGTATTCTATTATTTTTTTCTTAAACAACTTTTGTTTCACTTGAGTAACTACCTTTTATAATTTTGACCAGCTCTAATTCACAAAACATATTCTTCTTCTTTGCTCCAACCCAACTGTAACATGCCGCACAAGAATTTGTTAAGAAAGCTCGAAGAATATTTACAATTGAAGTTTTTGTATCCTTCCCCAACAGAAGACGACTTCGTTGAAACTAAAATGAATATATAAATCATTATAAAATCTTTAGATAAGTAATTTTTATACTTACAACATATTTTCGTAAATTATCATTAGTTTTTAACATGTTGTTGATACGTTCCATTTCTTCAATGGTGTTTACAGGGAACACACTTTCAAAAATTTCTCTGCACGGATCATCATTTGGTAAATCTTTTTCCCTTTCAACAACTCCTAGTTCGAGCGAATTCAACCTATCCAATATTTCCTGTTGCATCAGGGACACTGCCACTACTTTTCTCTGGACGTTTTGTAATAATTTCATGCAGTCCTCCTGGAAGGCTAAAAATTACACAAAAATTGATTTATGTAAATACTCTTATTTACAAATTTACTTACTTATTGTTAGTTGGGAGGGAACTTCCATTCGTGTATCTTTTGCAGGCGTACAATTAACTAAAATAATTGATCCATTTGAAATTAAGTTTTCTATTAAAACGTAGTTAAGAAAAGTACAGTACTCAAAAAGTACGAAAAGCACTCACCTGTTTTGTCAGTTGGAAACGTTGGATATGCAGTATCTTCATCTTCATCGTCTGATAAAGAATATCTTGTTTCGCGATGTTTTATTTGCCTTTTTTGTACAATTGTTGTATCCATTTCATCTTCGGAGCTGGATAATTTTTTTGTCGCCTTGTACTTTCTTTTTTTCTTTTCTTCTTCTGGATCTGTTGTACAAATGTCACTCTCATCTTCAGCTTCTTTCACTTTTTTTAATCCATACTCATAATTATCTGGAAATATATAACATTTTAGAATAAATATAGTCTAACATCTTTAGGGAAAGTAATCATTTTCTCACCTGTAGAATATAAAATTCTTAAAATTTGACATTTTTGCCAATCTATGCCAGGTTTTATTGAATTTTTAACGGCAGCGTTGTATTTAGCTGTAGTTTTAAAATTCGGCCAGAAAGCTTCATTGTCGCTGTTGATCCAAAGTCTTGGAATAAGTTGCAGGCCATCATCAAACTCAACTACGCAGTACTTCTTATTCATTTTGAACTCTAAGTGTTTAAAATGGAACAAAATTATTATTTTCTATTGTTGCCATAATTTAAAAAAATACTTACCTCACTATGGAGTAAGGGAATAACAACAAATGTATTAGCTTCAAAGGGCAATTTCATATATTTGCACCTAACTTCAGTTAACGGCCAAGTTTTGAGCGCGGATAAGTGTGAAACTACATAAATATCAAGTTTAGATGAATCACAGGGTTTGTGAAATAAATTTTCTTTCTTTACGAATTCTCTACCTATTAGTAACATAGACTGTGCTTCAAACGAATAGGCAATGTTTTCTAACACTACAATATTGCCATTTTTGCCCAAAAAACAATTATCAGAAACAGAAAAAGCTTTTAATATGAATTGATCATTTTGTATTGAATGATATTGAGGATTTGAACATCCTTCAATGAGGGGACCACGAGTATGCAATGTTTTATCAACCATGAAAAATTTTAGATTTTTGTTTTTTGGCAAAAGCTTCCATGTTTGTGTACCTAAGGCTTCTATTTCAGTAGTTCTAAAAAATAATTGTTGAAGTGGTCTTTCAGATTTTCTCAGTAATTTCTTTATCGATGACATATAGTTTTCAAATTTGAAAGCGCTGAAATTATCCAATACTCCAAATTGTTTTACATCTTCAGCAAGATGTAACAGGTTATGAAC